TAAAAGGCTGGGGATGTTGCTCAGTTGGTTAAGTGCCTCTGGGTTCAATTCCTGATACAAAAAAAAAAAAAAAAAAAAGGACTTTTCTCTCTTTGTGTCTATTCTTTTGGGAGAACACACCTTAGTTTTGTCTCCCTCCCTATTATCAGTGTTCCCTCCCTGGAATCAGTGTTTGACCTGTGTTGCATGTCCACATTGTAGAGGGCTGTTCTGGTTGTTAACATGTTCAGAGTCAGTAGTATAGTGAGTATATGTGAATTGGTATAGCACAGGTGAGTCCTCAGTCACTGAACTGTCGTGGACCTCCGTGTTTTTACATTGAAGAAGGAAGTTGGGTGGTCTTTGAATTCATTCCCAAGCTGAGTCATTCTTGCTTATCTATTAGGCAAACTTATCAGTTGACAGTTCACTAGCCAGAGAGTATGAGGGTGAAAGAGAGAGGCTGTAGCAATCTGCCTTAGAGTTGAAAGATGTACCTTAGCACTCAGCGCTCCTCAAGGGAAGTCTATGTTCTTGAGGCTTCCATGTGGTCATTTTCATTCTAGAAGCTGCCTGCACAGTCCTTGGGCCTTTAGAGTTTACATGGTGTGTAAAAGAGTAACCAGACAATAAACGAGTATACCTTGTTCTTGTGGAGTATATGGAGTATGAAGGAAAAGGAGGCAAAATCAGGGGAATAACGAGAAGGGAATGGAGGAGGGATGCATGTTTGTGACTTGCTGCTTGGGGGGGAGGGGAGGCAGGCTTGTCAGGTGGAATAGCCAAGGCATTGCCTTAGGGTAGGTGCCACTGGTGTGTTCTGTGTGCTCAGAGTGAAGAAGTGGTTAGTGAAAGGCAGTGCAGTCCGAGGTAGGGCCTTGTAAGCCTGGGAAGGTGTCAGCTGTGTGCTGTGTTGTGTAACTGACCTATAAGGGTCACCAGACTTGTACAAGAATGACTAGAAAGGGACCTTGATGTGCCCAGCTTCATGTCCTGGCTTTGCAGAAACCAATTTTAACAAGTTTTCTACTATTAACTGCAAATTAATGGCAGAAACCAAATTTCAAGAAGGGGCGGGTAGCATGTACCTGTGATCCTAAGGACTTGGGAGGCTGAGGCAGTAGGATCACAAGTTCCAAACCTTGGCAATTTAGTGAGACCCTGTCTCAAAAAATAAAAAAGGCCTAGGGGTGTATTTTGGTGGTAGAATGCACCTGGGATCAATCCCTGGTGCCAAAAACAAATAAAAAAATCTGTATGTTTACATTTACAGTGAGAGCTACATTTGACCTGTTGTTTCCTACCAAATCACAGAACTAAATCATGATTTGAAACAGAGGAATTGGTTGTTTTATGAAGTTTTGGAGGCCCAAAGGGTCATATTTTCTACCTCTAGGGTATACACCTCTCAGTATCTATGAAATTAGTTACTAGTGCCAAAATTGCTTCCTACTTTGAGATGGTCTTAGAGAAACCAGAGAAGATTTGGGAACCAGAATTGTCATTGCACACCTCCTGCTACCAGTTGTCTTAATTTTTGCTTTTCTGCCTACTTTCTTAGGCCAGGTTGTAAGGATTGGATGAAGTCACTAAGACGTATCTGGCCACTGTCCAGTAGTGACGTCTTGTACCTTTTGTCTGGATTCCCTGTTGACCCGCAGCTTTGGTTCCAGAGTAACGTCAGGGTAACATAGAGCCATTGTTTGTTGTTCAGTGTGTCATGTACCATCCTCAAAAAAGGTGCTGAGAGGACTTGCTGCAGCAGAAGTCCTTGTCCACCTGACACTCTTTACTCTTTTTTTTTTTTTTTTTTTTAATATTTATTTTTCAGTTTTTCGGCGGACACAACATCTTTGTTTGTATGTGGTGCTGAGGATCGAACCCGGGCCGCACACATGCCAGACGAGCGTGCTACCGCTTGAGCCACATCCCCAGCCCACTCTTTACTCTTGATGATGTGACATCGTCACCTTTTCTACCAGTCTTTCCTTTCTGAACTTGCTTGTTTAGGTTTACCCTGATTTTAATATCTTTTTTATGGCTTATTTTATTTTTTAGTCCACTGAGGCTGTTGATAGGGTGTTTGGATAAATAAATTAGCACTTTACCAATTGGGGAATGGGTTTACTTTAGAGTGATAGTCTACAGAGCTTGCTTCTTCCTCATGTTGACAGCTGAAGTAACATGGGTGTTATCACCTATGGGTCTAGTTTCAGTATAATAAAATATTGGATACAATCCAAATTCTTCAGTTATGTTGGAATTTTGTTGAATACAGTTAATACTGGGTTATTGAATGTGCTTAAATTTTTTTTTTTTTTTTTTAAAAACAGTGTGTTGCCTTTTACTTTGGTAGTTTTTCTTGTGACTTTTGAATTGAATTAATGAAAAATCTAAATTGCCTCTAGTTTTGTCCTTAACTCATATCAGGTAAGGTTAGCAGCTCATGGTAAAAATTGGCATTTTCCTCCCTGAGGGTTGAAGAAATACAAAAGTTCTAGAAAATTGTGTGCCTTCTTGACCTGACAGACATTAGCCTCCTAGCTGATCAAACATAAATCATAAGATTCTTTCAGTATTTTTTCCTTATTATTTTGTTTTTTTATAGTGCTAAGGATCAAACCTAGGGCCTCACACGTGGTAGGCAAGCACTCTATCACTGAGATATATCCTCCTCAAATTTTCTTTTTTTCCCCCCAATTCTGAGGATTGAATCCAGGGCTTCGAACATGGTAAGCAAGGGCTCTACCTCTGAGTAACAACCAACAACCTTAAACCTTTTTTTTTGTTTGTTTCTAGACAGGATCTTGCTAAGTTGCCCAGGCTGGCCTCCAACTTGTTATCCTCCGTCCTTCTCCTTCTGAGTAGCAGGGATTATAGGCATGTGCTTTCAGGCCCAGCCTCAGTATTTTAATTTTGTGAGATTTGAGTCTTAGAATCATGTTTGGTTTTGAGCTGCATTAGTTAGGGTTAAGGCCTTATGCAAAAAATGGTGAGCTCCCTCCCCTGCTTTTGAATGCAGTAGCTGTAAAAATTCATCATGCATTTCTGCAGTGAATATACTTTATGTTTGTCCTGTTTCAACTGTTTTTTTTAAAAATATTTATTTATTTATTTTAATGGGGTGCTGAGGATCGAACTCAGTGCCTCACATGTGCAAGGCTGGCACTCCACCACTGAGCTACAGCCCCAACCCTCAACTAGATTTTTAATGCATATTTAAGCAGATAAAGAAGGGCAGCAAGCTGATACTCAGCCCACATCCTGTCTCTTGGAACCACTGTGAGGAAATGCTGCACTGTGTTGCAATGGCAGGTCATCTGCTAATTCTCTGTCCTCTTTCAGTGCCACCAGGGGATCCGTTGTCAGAAGCTGGCTCTGCAGGGGAGACTGGCGCCATTTTCCTGGTGGCTGTGTTCAGAACCATCCAAAGGTACTTGCCTGTCTTTTCTAAGTTAGCAATATGAGGTTTACAGGGACCAGTGAAGCTTCTTCAGAGTGTCTCCTCCCACAGTGACTAAGCAGGGAGCAAGGGGCATGACAACTAGGAGGTCCCCCTTGCCATCTTTCCTAGTTTGCATATTGAGCCACAATACATCATCTTCATGCCTTTACTGTTTTGATATCTAGAGAGACTGGAAAAAGAAACTCTTTTCAGAAGGAAGGTGCTTGGTGAATCTTTTGGAAGGCGTGGTAGTAAACCGTTATTTTGCATGTCTGATTTTGAGAGCCAGTCAAGCCTCGTATTTGAAAAGTAAACAGATGATATGATATGTAAGCTGTAGTCATCTTGGAGCACATTGAACCAGTTAGATCCCTGCTCTTCAGAGCAGGCTGTGGGCCCTGGCTTAGTGCTCTCAAAAGCACCTAGAGATCTGGCAGGGGCTCTCCAGCCCTATGCCAGTGTTAGGACCCTGGGCGGTGTGTTGAGTGGGGTAAGTAAGGAAGCAAGACTGAAGACAATGGCTCCATCTTGATTTGACTGTAGTGTTGCTTTTCTGAGTGGGACTTTTCTCTCAAAGTACTTCCCCTTCATTTTGTCTCTAAGGGTTTGAAAAATTCTTTAAGAGGAGTGGAAGAAACACAGATTCAGAAAAATCAACAGTGCCAAAAAAAGGTAAAAGAGTCAGTTTGATAAATCAAAATAAAGGTTCATCAACATCTAAAAAAATATTAAAATTTAAAAAAATAAATTACATCATGGCTTGATGACGTGGATTGGTTTTTGGGATCAGTGTAGTCAGTATTTGTCAGATTTGTTTCTCCTGCAAAAAGTTTCCTGCTGCTGGATGCAAGACAGGAGAATCACAAGTTCAAAGCCAGCCTTGGCAATGGGCAAGGCGCTGAGCAACTCAGTGAGACCCTATTTCTAAATAAAATATAAAATAGGGCTGGAGAGTGGCTCAGTGGTTCAAGGAAGTCTTCAAGGATTGAGTTCAATCCCTGGTACCAAAAATAAGTGTTCTGCCTAGGTACCTGTGAGCATTAAGTAGGAAGAGATGGGTAGAAGCATTATGGGAGGTGTGCCGACATGTTTTGCTATGAACAGAACATTGTTTGAAAACTTGTGTTTTGTCCTGAAATTTGTGCAAAATTTTACTCTCTCATGATTCATTCTGCCCTTCCTTGGGTCCTCCTGGCCTTCTCTAGTCTTGCATGGAATTGTTTTGGATTGTTGGTGTGGCAGTGTATATGGAAGGGGGGCTACCTGTGTCCTGGCTTGTTTTGTCCTGGAACTTGTATGATTGCTGTAGAAGGGGCTCACAGGAATCCACCTCTAATGTTATCTACTGTCACAAAATGTACCCACGGGTCCAGGTTTTCCTGAGAGATGAACTCTGCCTGAGGGGAGGTGGCCTGTGTTCTGGTTCTCTGGAGTAGGGACTACCTGTGCCAGCCTACCTCTTGCTTTTCTTTCTTCCTTCCTCTCCCCTAATTACAGCCATGTTTATTAGCTAAAAATGATTTGTCATTAAAGCTCAGGTCTGAAGCCAGCAAGGGCAAATTGGAGGCATTTTAGAGGTATCGGAAGCTACTTCTCAGCAGTGTCTCCTGGCATCTTCCTTTTCCTGTCTGCTGTTTGTTTCTGAAAGGCGCCAGGGTAATTAAAATTTTATGATGGAAAACGTTACTCTGTTCTCTGAGTCCTCTTTCTGTGAAAAAGTGTATATAATTATTTTCTGAAGTCACACTTTGTTTTTTCCTAGAATCTGGTGAACTAAAGAATGCTGAGCCTGGAGGAGATGGAAACAAGAGAGGAGGGAGGCAGGATGACTTTGCCTGGTGGAAACGGATGCAGAAGGTTTGTGTGCATCTGAGTGTGCCAGACCCAGACACCTGTCACTTCTCCAGGGGTGCTGTTGCTGCATGACTGAGACTGCATCGCACTTGTCTCAGTCTGTTCCTGCCATGACAAAATACTTTAGACTGGATGGTTTTTAAATAGCTTGAAATTTATTGTTCATAATTATGGAAGCTGGGAAGTACAGGGTCAAGGTGCTGGCAGGTCCAGAGTCTGGTGAGGGCTTGCCCTCCACTAATAGATCGTGGTGTCTTGAACATGACTTCCTTCAGTGGGACCAGTACTGTGTCCTCATGTGGTGGAAGGGACAGACTTCCCTCGTGCCCTTTAGTAAGAGTACTAATCTCATCCATGAAATTGGAGCCCTTGTGGTGTCATCACCAAGTCCCCATTTCTTACTGCCATCACCTTGGGGGTCGAATTCCAACACACAGAGATTAGAAGAAACGAACTTTTTAAAACGTGCCAGGATTTCTGTCTGCACTTGGAGAGTTGCAGGTAAGAGGACATGCCATGTGATGTTGCAGAGGCAGAGCTCTTGGTGGGTTTGCTGCTTCTCCTGGGGCCTCTGGTGAGCAGCAGGTTTGGTGTGCTGTTCACAGTGTGCAGGTCTTTCCTGCTGAGAGCAGCATCTGAGCTTCCCGCATGCCTGGTCCCCCTTGGGTACCATAGGAGGGCAGGGTTTGGTGACTGCAACATCTGAGAGGAGAGGTTTCCTTTTTCATGATGGCCCAAGGGTAGAGCTCTGGCTTAGCTGAGCCAGCCCTAGGTCTGATCTCCAGTATTGTGAAAAACAAACATACAATCAAAAGAGAGAAACACCTGCATTTAATTGCAAAATTTGTTATCTTTTCTTCCACAGGGCGAGTTCCCCTGGGATGACAAGGATTTCCGAAATCTGGCCATTCTGGGTGCAGGTGTATCTGTGGGATTTTTCTACTTCTATTTTCGAGATCCTGGAAAAGAGATCACCTGGAAACACTTTGTTCAGTATTACCTGGCCAGAGGTCTGGTGAGCGAACTTAGTCTGCCTGGGAAGGTGCTGTGGTGGTATGCCCTTGCAGGAGACAGGTGGTGCCCCAAGAGTCAGTCCTGCTGGTGGGTGTCCTTCATGGCTCAGTTTTGTTTTTCCAGGAGCTACCCCAGCAGAACAGCACATCATGATGTCTTCTAAGACAGTCCTGTTTGTCTACTGATCTTTGACTTTTGTTCTCATTCCTGATTGGGGTTTTTTTCCTTTCTCCTTACTTTCTGCTGCCAGCCACCCCTTGACAGTGGACTGTGGCTTGGTGACTGCAGAGGAGCATGTGGCACCAGCAGAGCCTCTCTTGTGTGTTTTTCCCTTGGGGTGCTGAGTTGGGTGAAGTACTGCTCAGGCCTCAGTGTAAACCCTGTGTGAGTGAGTGCCTTCCCTCTGTTGCCCTCAGAAGAGTGTTGGCTGGACCCAGGCATTATTAAGAGCTGAAATTTTGTTTGATGAAACTCCTGTTTCCAATTAAGGTTTGTGGCCACAGCCTTTGTGTCTAACCACAGGGCACCTGCCTATCTTCAGAGAGGCCCTTGGCAACTCTCCCTATGGTGGAAGGGGACAGAGCTGCTGCAGCCCTTCCCTGTCTGTGGATCTTCTACCTGTAGGTGTGGCTGTGAGGGGGGTGAGACAAGTGTGGTGAGCCCAGGATGCCTTTCTGTGCATGGACTGGACTGCTCTCAGCACTTCCTTGAAGTCTTTTCCAAGTGTCTGACCTGACAGTGATGTGTTATTGTGGTGGGAAGGTTTGTAGGATTGAACATGTTCACCTTAGTCACGTGGCCCTAAGTCCTTGCTTTTGGAGCAGTGACGATATTGTTGCTGCATGTGAGAATACACATTGTGCCCTTAAGTTGCTTCTCTCGGATTGCTTCTCTGAGGGTCAGGCTAGCCTGCTGTGTGGTTGTGTGTGGTGGTGACCACAACTGGGGAGCCTGCAGGACTGCATTTCCACTCTGCTTGGCACTGCTTCCCTGTGCTGCCTTTAGCTGGCTGAACAGGGTGGGTCTGAATCAGTTGGGTTTAAGACTCTGCTGTAAGACTTATTCCTATTTCTTTTGGGTTTTTAAGCCAGTCTGGCATGATAGTGCTCAGATATACCAGATTTTAGAAACTAGTCTTGAATTGTTTCCTGTTGATTAAAATGGAAATGAATTCAGGAAAACAAAGCTTGTACTGAACTGTGAGTGTGTGTGGGTGCAGATGGGCCTGGGCTGAGCTGCCCAGGGTCTGCCTGAATGTCCTGCTTGGCCTAAGCCCTCTGGTTCTCTCTCCCAGGTGGACCGGCTGGAGGTCGTGAACAAACAGTTCGTTCGTGTCATCCCTTCCCCTGGGGCGTCTTCTGAGGTGAGGGCTAGGTTTCAGGCTGGGTCTCCACACATGGCTTCCCCTCCCCCAGTGACATAAAATACAGTTTTAATTTTTTTTTTTAGTAAGATGCTTCCCCTGGTGTCCAGCAGTCCCTGTTGATGTGATGGTTTATGTCATTGACCTGTGCACAGTCTTGCTTTCCAAGCAGGATAGGAACTCTTATGAGACTATAACCATGGTTCAGTTTTGCCAAGTAACATGTGAGAACCACTTGTCAAGGTTTGGGAAGAGGAAAGAATAAAAAGACAAAGACAGAAGGTCAAAGGCAGACCTCAGGCAGTTATCACAGCATTTCATCTAGAACTTAAAGCCTGTAATTTTGTGGGATCAGAAATGAGGGAATGTCTGCTGTTTGTGTAGTTACCATTGGAGCTTGCCACAGGGTGGGATTTGTCCGTGTGTGGAGATAGGGGCTAGGAGAAGAGGCTTGGTTGGAAGAGAAGTTGGTAAATGGGAATGCAAGCTGTGGACAGGTGTGTGTGTGTGTGTCAGGGCGAGTCTCAGGGGAACACAGGGGTGCGCCTAAACTTGCTCTTGGTCTCTGCAGAGGTACGTGTGGTTTAACATCGGCAGTGTTGACACCTTTGAGCGGAACCTGGAATCTGCTCAGTGGGAACTGGGGATTGAGCCAACCAACCAGGTTGCTGTGGTCTACACCACTGAGAGTGACGGGTGAGTGGCACGGGTGAGGTGACATGAGACACTTTATTCTTGGGCCTCTGATTCTGAACACAAAACAAATAGTGTTGAATCTCTTTTGGAATTTTTTTCCCCCAAGTATGTCATAGTATCTGCTAATCTTTACAGTGTCTGTAGTAAAAGAGTATATATTCATTTGGTCTGGCTTAATTTTTTAAATTTTGTATCTATTTTTTTGAGGTGGAGTCTTGCCCAGGCAGATCTCAAACTCCTGGGCTCAAGAGATGTTCCTGCCTTAGCCTTCCAGTTAACTGGGTTGCAGATGCATGCCATGGTTTAGCTTAGGTCTTAATGAGAAGAGAATTGAAGCAAAGAAATATGTATCTAGGTAACCTTCAAAAAGCATTAAATGGGAAGAAGAAGACAAAGATGCTATGTGTTGTAGCACATTACTGTAGTGCAGATGCCACTGTGCAGTAGAACCCTGTGGGAGTTCTTTGAAGGTGTGCTGCGATCCCTGCACCCTGACTCCCACTGAACCGTTGAGTCAGAAGTCCAGGTGAGCAGTCTCTGCTCACTTGCACACAGACAGACTTGCTTCCCACAGATCCTGCGTCAGCTTGCTCTCTGAACCTGCATTCCGCCCCCAGTGTGTTCCTGCCGTGCTTGTGGACTTGAGGGCAGGCCCATGTCTAATGCTCCTGTGTGCATCCCCGGACAGCACACACGTGTTGTCCTGCTCTCCTATTTACTACACAGGGACATGGTTGCTCTGGCCCTTCCTCCAGCTTGGAAACTGAATGGGTAGAGTCTGAGCTCAGGACCAGCTTTAGCCAGGAGGGTATGAAGAGTCGGTGTGGTGATGGCTTAGTTGGTTTCTTCTAGACAGGGCAGAGTGGGAATTGCAGTGAGGACGAGGAAGGTGAGTGCCTTACCGTTTTTTGCTGCTGTGACAGAAGACCAGAGAGTGGGTAATTTGTAAAGAAAAGAAACTGTCTTACAGTCTGGAGTCCAAGGCTGAAGGGCCATATCTGGGCAAGGGTCTTTGCTGCATCATAATGTGCTGGGGAGAGAGGATGAGCAGGAGGGTAGGACTGAACTTTGCCATTTTTATGACTGACCCATCCCCCAGAACTGACCCACTTTTGTTGTGGTGACCTTCATCCCTTCATGAGGGCCCAGCCCTCACCATCAGTTGCCTCTTGAATGGCCTTCGCCTTCTTCAGTTAGGTTCCAACGTGAGTGTGGGAGACGACATTCACACCATAGCAGTGAGGCAGACAGGGCTCTGGAGGTGACTTACAAGTGCTGGTGGGAGGCCTGCGGGGCCTCAGTCTCCTGGTGCAGCTCCTGAGTGTTCCTTGGGGTGCTGCGTATGGCTGACTGGGGTTTTGTTCTTACTGGCTCAGTTGCCAGGACTACTGGTTTTATGGGGGCCTATTTTCTGGGAGTTGAGGTGTGTTCTAGGAGCTGACAGTGACTAGAGCCACCTTGAGGGGTGGTGGGATTGGGCCTCTGGAGAGTGTAGGAGCAAGCATTGTGCTGTGATGGGACTGGTCTGTGGACCTCACCTGTGAGGAGCTACATGGGGTCTGCAGCTCCTCCTGAGGGAGACGTGGGTCGGGGCAGCAGTGCTGTTAGAACTGGGGAGGCCGAATTTATAGACATACCTTGACACTCTTCAAGAAGAAACTGCCCTTTTGTGCAGCAAATTCTAGAGTGGGTTACTCTTCCTGCTGAAGGTGATGCTGCTGACGTGATGAATGGTCTCCTTGGTTCTCAGCTCTTTCCTGCGAAGCCTGGTGCCTACTCTTCTCCTGGTTGGCATCCTGCTCTATGCTGTGAGAAGGGGTCCAATGGGGGCCGGGCGCAGCGGACGAGGAGGGGGCCTCTTCAGCGTTGGTGAGACAACAGCCAAGATCCTAAAGCACAACATCAATGTGCGGTTTGCAGATGTGGCTGGCTGTGAAGAGGCCAAACTGGAAATTATGGAGTTTGTGAATTTCCTGAAGAACCCCAAGCAGTATCAGGACTTAGGAGCCAAAATTCCAAAGGTACTGATTTCAGAAAACAGTCATGCTCTGAGTTCCAAGTCAAAGCCAAAGATTGCTGTTGTTCAGAGAATGAATATCAGACAAATGATTTTTCCTTGAGTTTATATTTTACTAATAACAATAGAGGATGGAAATTTGTAGGACAGAACAGTAAAAGTCCTCTTATCTTGTATACAGAGATATGATAAATTGTGGTATAAAGGTGTATTAAGAATTGTAATACAAAAAACAATCATTAAAAAAAATCCTCTTATCTGTCAGACTTGAGACCACAAGTCCTAAAATTCTATAACGTTAGGTCTATGAAATGGACATAGGAATATGTGTGATTTTTTTGTTTGTTTCTTTTTTTGAAATTTAAAACACAAGTGTACATTCCTTTACTGGTCTTCATTTAGAGCCAGTCATTGCTTTGAGTTTAGTTCCCGGGATCACAATCCTTTGTTAAACTGGGTGTGGTGGCACATGCCACGTGTGGTGGCACTGCAGTCTGAGGCAGTACCTGTGTATTTTCGTGCATTCTGTCATACTTTTCTTATCTATGCAGCTCAGGAGGCTGAAGCAGGAGGATCTGAAGTTCAAAGCCAGCCTCAACAATTTAGCGAGGCCCAAGCAACTTAGTGAGGCCCTGTCTCTAAATAAAATATACGAAGGGCTGGGGATGTGGCTTAGTGGTTGAGTGCCCCTGAGTTCAATCCTCCCCAGTTGCACCTCTGTTGAATTGTCCTGTGTGAACCACATCTTTTCTTTTCTTACCAGGGATTGAACCCAGGGACATTTAACTATTGAGCCACATCCCCAACCTTTTTTCTTTTTTATTTAGAGACCGGGTCTCACTGAGTTGCTTAGGGCTTTGCTAAGTTGCTGAGGCTAGCCTTGAACTTGAGATCATCCTGCCTCAACCTCCCAAGTTGTTGGGGTCACAGGTGTGTGCCACCATGCCTGGCAGAACCACATATTTTCTGCAAGTTTGTTTTTCTCAGTAGAAGCAAGAACTTACTTAGGTGCAGTCTGAGGCAGTATCTGTGTATTTTCGTGCATTCTGTCATACTTTTCTTATCTATGCAACTTGAAAACATTTTATAAGACAATTTTCCTTTATTCTTTAATTATTCAGAGCTTTCACCTTACTTTATTTACTTTTTTTAAAAAAAAACCTCTTTTTAGTTATATATGAACACAATGTCTTTATTTTGTTTATATATGTGGTGCGGAGAATCGAACCCAGTGCCTCACACATGGAAGGCAAGTGCTCTGCCACTGAGCCACAGCCCAGCCTTCACCTTAGATTTTGAAGGAGTTTTAAAAAACTCTGTTTTGTTAGTTTGTGTAATATCAAATTACAGAGTTAAAACAAGTAGCCTCCGTGGTCAGGTTTGGGAGCAGACACAGCTCTCTGGAAGGCTGGTGGACAGCACAGTGCAGGAGTATGCAGCCAGACAGTGGTGTATCCTAGGGCTGGTGGCAGCCTGGGTGTCCTGAGAGGAAACCGCCCTGGCAAAGCTGGCTGCAGTACAGAGGGCCAGTCTGTCCACTGGTGCCTTTGTGTGGTCATGGACCCATTTAGGGCTCGATGGAAGCTTGGATTTTTTTTACCAGGAAGATTGGTATCCTGTGTGGTCACAGAAACTTCAAGTCCTCTCTGCTTTTCTGGACCAGGCTAGAAATTCCTGGTTGAGGTGGTGCTTAGATGACACTTAGGCCCTTTCAGTAGCTTTGTGTTCCCCCAATTCCTCCCACAAATTGGGCACCACTGGACAGTTTGTTGTGATTAATATACAAAAAGATTAGCAACCATTGTGAACCAGGGATTCCAACCAGGACACTGGATGTGTCTGTTTTACAGTTGGTGTGTGTTGGGGCCAGAAAGCATGTGGGTGTGGCAGGTGCAGAATGGTTGCCTTCTGCTTCCTGGTGGAACTTTGCCAAGTCAACGCCCAGCTGCTTTGCACCTCTGTTGACAGCCAGGTGCCAGAGTGGGTGTGTCTCACACTTATTTTATATGGTTTGATCTGGGTGTTTGGATTTACTGGGGAAAATGTGCCTGATGAAAGGAGTGGGTGAAGGAGTCAGGTTCCAAGGGAGGCCTCTCACCCCAAGTATGAGTCCCCCTTCTCGGCCAGGCTGGGCTCCTGCGAGTGGAAGCTTCTGTCAGCCTGTGTGCTACATTATAGGCTGGTTTTCCCAAAGCATCACTGCCCCCTGCTGGGAGTCTGTCATGAAGAATTGACTACACTCACATAGATGTGTTTCCTGCGCACAGGAATAGGACATGGCATGCCATGGATATATCCTGCCCCTAGAATGTTCTTATGCCTGCAGGGATGGCTCCTGAGACTTTGTGTCCTGTCCCATGGCATATAAAGATCATCCATGTCATGGGCTATTATGTATCAGACCCATATGTGCCATGGAAAAGGAAGTGCTCTGTGACCACATTTGGAGGACGCAGGGCTCCACATCTTGTGGGTTTAACAGCTGGATGTGGTGTTCACGCCTGTAATCCAGCAACTCTGGAGGCTAAGGCAGGAGGATCACAAGTTCAAGAGCAGCCTGGGCAACTTAGCAAAACCTTGTCTCAAAATAAAAATGGCCTAGGGGTGTGGCTCAGCAGTAGAGTACCTCTGGGTTCAATCCCCAGTACCACAAAACAAAAACAAAAACAAAACAATAAAAAAAGATCTGATAGCAACCCAGCATTCTTCTTATTGGTACTAGGGGTTAAACCCGGGGCACTTTACCACTGAGCCACATCCCCAGCCCATTTTATTTTTCATTTTGAGTCAGGGTCTCACTGAGTTGCTTAGGGCCTTGTTAAGTTGCTGAGGCTGGCTTTGAACTTGTGGTCCTCCTGCCTCAGCCCCAGAATGCCACCATGCCCAGCTGCAATCCAGCATTCTTGACTAGAAATGGAGCAGTCCATCCCCACCCTGTAATTCTCCTTTCAGTTTTCAGATATAACTGTAATCCATGAAATAAAAATGGAGTTGTGTGGCAGGGACGTGAATTAGTATCGTGTTTTGTTATGTTTCCAGTATTGGGGATCAAACCCAAGGAGCTTTACCACTGAATCACATCCCAGCCCTTTTTATGTTGAGATAAGGTCTTGTTAAGTTGTTGAGGCTGGCCTTGAATCTGTGACCCTCTTGCTTCAGGCTCCTGAGTAGTTTTTGGATTACAGTTGTGCCACTGCCCTGGTGTGAATTGAATTTAAATCTTAAGCTTGAATAGAAAAAGGTAAGGAAAAGGTAGAAGAGCACATTGAACACAAAGATGTCCAACCTGAATACCTGGAGAAGTGCCTTTAAAGAGATCTGTGCCCTGCAGACCAACAAGGCAGCACAGCTGGATAGTCTTGCTGTCGCACAGTTCCAGCCAGATTGCCCTTGAGGTTCACGCCTGGTGGGCGTGAGAGCAGCTTGGTGGTAACCCCCACAGAATGTATTCCGGCCTTTGACCCAACAGCTCTGCTTCTGGAGTTCTTCCTGTAGGAAGCGTTAGGTCACGCAGGCTCCCATGTTCCGTGTTACAGATTTCTAGTCAGAGCTGAGTGGGAAGTGGGGTTCATGTTGCATCTGTTCCCTGTGAGAGCCAAGTGCCTCTTGTTTGTTGCAGGGAGCCATGCTCACAGGTCCACCCGGTACTGGCAAAACACTTCTTGCCAAGGCGACTGCAGGAGAGGCCAGTGTGCCCTTTATCGCTGTGAATGGATCCGAGTTCCTGGAAATGTTTGTCGGTGTTGGACCAGCAAGGGTAGGTGAAAGGGTGATCAGCTTCAGAAGGTGCCAGCCACTTCTTGACGAGGACTGGTCACCTTGTTAGCAACAGACTGTGTGACGCTGACAACAAGCTGAGTGCATCCCACCTGTGCGAGCAGCAAGGACAGGGTCAAGGATGTGTTGCCACGCTGTGTGTGTGTGAGTAGCAAAATAGACTCTGGGTTCCTCTTCTAGGTTCGTGACATGTTTGCAATGGCCCGTAAAAACGCTCCTTGTATCTTATTTATTGATGAGATCGATGCAATTGGCAGGAAGCGAGGCCGCGGGCACCTTGGAGGCCAGAGCGAGCAGGAAAACACGCTGAACCAGATGCTCGTGGAGATGGATGGTGAGTGGACCCTTAGCAGGAGGCCCTCCTCTAGCCTCTTGTTTCTGGAAGGGTGCTCCTCGGAAGAGAATCCCCAATGCCTCTATTTTAAGGAAGGCTACTCTCAGGCACACAGTGGAGAAGGCCGTATGGATCCATGTAGCGGCCCCCACTGTGCAGGGGCAGAGTGAGGCAGATGCGCTTCTCTGGGTGGGGGAAAATCAGCTGAGGAGACCAAGCAGACGAATGTCAGTCACACCACGGATGGAGCAGAAACAGCCGTGCTCTTCCTGCTTGGTGTCTTGTCCCCCCCACTACCTGGGTGTTTCCTTCTCGGGAAGGTATGTTTAACATATAAGCCAGGTGTTTCTTTTTCTTCTGTTTTGTTTTTTCATACAACTGGGGCATTCTAGTACTGAGCTACATCCCCAGTCCTTTTTATTGTTTTATTTTGAGACAGGGTCTCAGTAAGTTGCCCAGGCTGACCTCAAATTTGTATCTTCCTCCCTCAGCATCTTTGGGAGTTTTGGTTACAGGGTGTCACTGTGCCCAACTTATGCCATTTTTTTGAATTTGGAAAAGCTTTCATTGGCTCTTTGGCTTCAAAGGTTAGAGGGTCAGGTTGGGTCCCTAAGACCACCCCTGACTTTGATTTTTTTTCCAGAGTCACAAGCTGATCCTGTAGTTGAAAAGCTGTGTTTCTTCACAGTGAAAGTACGTGCAACAAAACCAACCAGGAGGGCCAGGTGCGGTCAAAACCTGTAATCCCAGCGGCTTTGGAGGCTGAGGCGGGAGGATCAAGAGTTCAAAGACAGACTCAGTAATTTAGCACAGCCCTATGCAACTTAGCGAGATTCTGTCTCAAAAAAGGGCTGGGGATATGGCTCAGTGGTTTAGTGCACTTGAGTTCAATCCTTAGTACCAAAAAACAAAACAAAAACCAAGGCGGAAGGTACATAGGGCAGGTCTAGGGGAAGCCAGGCACAGCTTCCAGAGTCCTCCAGAATGTGACAGCACGTTGAAGTGGTGTTGACCTGGGAGCCGGTGAGAGACTCAAGGCTCTAGGGTTTCACTGGGTGCTGGTCATGTGGGCACCCTTTGTCTGGCACATGGCAGGATGCTCCAGAGGAGGGCAGGTGTTCATAGACCACATTGTTGCAATTTGGGTACAGGGTACTTGTCTTGCCAGGGGATGCTGGGAATGCTCCTAGAGACCCATCCCCCAGGGATCAGCTATTTGCTGATGTTAGAGGTGGCCCTGTCTGAGGATAGCAGTGACGCCTGGGTTCCTATTTTTCTGTGTAGGCCAAAATTGCTTCCAAAGTCTTTTATTGTCTTCAGAGTCTAACAGCAAATGTGCTCTCTTCTGGAGGGCTGGACTGGAGAGGACTGTGGGCAGGAGTGGGTGGACGCCTTGCCGCCATCCTGTGCCTTCTTCCTTGGTTAGCATCCCTGTTCTTTGCTCCTCCTCGCCCACCCTTGGGTAGTGCTGCACTGTGGTCTTGCTGAGCATCGTGTGGGGTTGGGCAGGGGGAACCAGGAATGAGTGGTGAGGAGATCCAGGTGCTGGGACTTCCCACAACCCTGAGGTGGGCTGTAGAGTCTTCAGTTAGCTGAGGCATGTCTGGCTTCCTGCTGGCAGAGAGGCACTCAGCTGACACAGGAGGGGACAGACTGCCAGGAGCCAGGGTGAGTGACACTGCCCAGGAAGCAGAGAGGATCCTCAGTCAGGTTGGGCCAGCCAGCTGGGCAGGGCCTCCTGCCTGCCTGATAGCCCTTGCAGTGTGGTGTGGAGTGAGCAGAGGGAAGCAGCAAGGGAAGGAGATGTGCTGGCCTGGGTCTTCCTTGGGCTCACCTGGTTCTCTCTCCAGGGTTCAACTCTACCACCAATGTGGTGGTGCTGGCTGGCACCAACCGCCCTGACATCCTTGATCCAGCCCTGACGCGGCCCGGCCGGTTTGATCGCCAGATTTACCTTGGTGAGTTGCTTAGGTACCTGGGTTTGGTCCTCAGCCTCTGGGGTTAAAAATTGGGTAGATTGTTCGCTGCATATTTGGAGACAATTTTGATGGGGATCCTGAAGTAAGTAAGATAATATTTTGAAAATGTGGAGATACTCAACTACCCCATGGTGCTGCTGTGTTATTATGTCAGAATGTCACTGCAGTGCATGTAGGTGGGCATTATGTAGCAGATTTGTACTCTCCAGCTTTTGTTTTTGTACCATATTATAAAAAATAGTTTAGAAGACAAAGAGTTTGTACCTCGCCCTTCACCCTGACAACACGCTGTCTTTGTCTTCCCTGACACTTTCCCACTGGGACACTAGTCCGTGTGGGTGCTCTGGGCAGCAGGGCAGTGCTCATTTTCCTTGCCGTCTGGTTGGTTACATGGCCTGGAACTGGATTTAATATTGGTCAAGGCGGTTAGGGCGTTTCATGGAGCTGAAGAGCTAAACACACATGCACCTTGATCTCTCCTGCCATTGCACCCTGGCTCCAGCCAGATGACAGTGGCAGAGTGTGCTCCTGGCTGGCCTTGCAGTTGTGTGAGGTGACTGTTGGGGACCCGACTCTGAAGTCCAGTGAACACAGAGCTTGTGTGTGTCTCCCTATTTCTTCACTAGGCCCCCCTGACATCAAAGGCAGGTCCTCCATCTTCAAGGTCCACCTGCGTCCTCTCAAGCTGGATGAGAGCCTCAGGAACGATGCCCTGGCAAGGAAGCTGGCAGCACTCACTCCAGGCTTCACTGGTGAGTGTTGCTGGGCTGAACTGCACCCGCCAGGAGCCAAGTACGCCCAGCTGATGGCAGTTGGCAGGTGTTTTCTGTGCCTGCGTATTTGGTCCTGGCAACTGTCCACTCTGGTCTGTAGAACGTTAACCTGTTAAGACATTCAGAGGCCTTGGGGATCTTCTCCCCACAGCCTATTGGTGCCCGCTTGAGTTTGTTTTTAATTCTGTTCAGACTTAGTAAGGGACGAAAACTGGAGTGAAGACACATGACACTTTGGGATGCTTCCTCTATGTTTCTGAGCAGAAACCCAGTCTCTTGTGATAACATTCTTATTTTCCTGCCAGAGTGGTCTGAACCCTAGGCATGGGTGCGGACCTTTCAAAGGGCTTCCTGCCTACTCACCCCTGTGAGCAGCCTTTTGTAAGCTTTAGTGCCTCATCAGATTTGAGCAGTCAGAGGAGAACCAGAGAAATTGGAGCTACGGCAAAGGAAGTTAACCACTCCATAGAGCGGAAAGGAACAAGAGTGAAGAGCAAAGCCTAAGGGCCTGTGGTGCATTGCTGCAAGGACCAGCATGCGTTGTGGAAATTCCAGGACAGTCGAGGGCCTGGGGCAGAAAGAAAGTTCAGAGCAATAGTGGTTCAGAACTTCCCAAGCTGGATAAGACCTGAACCTGCACATCTGAGAAACTCTGAACTCAGAAGTATGAATAGGTTCAGAAGAGATCCAGAGAGACACATCATAATCCATCTGTTAAAAGCCAAACATGAGAGAGTCTTGAAAGCAATAGGAGAGACAGACATGGAATGAAGGAGTCACAGCCAGCTTCTCTTCAGGAACTGTGTAGGCCAGAAGGCACTGACAAGAGGTACCGGGTGCCAGAAGAAAATGTGTCATGGGGCTGGGGTTGTGGCTCAGTGATGGGGCATTTACCTAGCACGTATGAGGCACTGGGTTCAGTCCTCAGCACCTCGAAAAAATAAATTAATGGGCTGGGTTGTGGATCAGTGGCAGGGCGCTTGCCTAGCATGTGTGAAGCACTGGGTTTGATTCTCAGCGCCACATATGAATAAATAAAATAAAGGTCCATTGACAACTGAAAAATAAAAATAAAAAAAATAATAAAACTCAGGTTTTGTGTCCACCTACAACTAAAAAAAAAAATTGAAAGAAAAATTGGTCAGCTGAGAATTCTATATCTATATCAAGAATGAAAGAGGAACTGTTACGTTGTAGATTTTAAAGACAATGAAGGAGTTTACTAGTAGGCCTCCCCTGTGAGAAATGTTGGAGGAAGCTTCAGGCTTTAGGTTAACAATGACAGTGACTGAAGTCATGTGAAGAAGTGGCACTAGCAAAGGAGGATAATCAAGGCCAGTATCGTTAGGGTTTATAGTTTTTTTATAGCATTTAAAAAACAAATGCATGAAACTCATTATAGATGAATGCTAATGAGCACACAGTGTATAAAGATGTGGTCTGTGAACATTATGCACAGCGGGAAGGAGGAGATATAGCGGACAGAAGTTGAAATTCAAGTAGAACTATAGAGGACCCCTTGTAAAAGGACAAAGTGGGACTCTCACTGCCCTATTTCAGAACTTCTCATAGAAGTGTGGCAAACAACAGTGTGGTCCTGGTACAAGGATAGACATAGACCACTGAATGGAGTTAAAAGTCCAAATAGAGGAGGGGGGGGGGGAGTCCAAATAGAAGCCCACCTGTGCATTTATGGTCAGCTGGTTTTTGACAAAGGCGCCAAGAGCATTCTGTGGGGAAAAGATTAGTCCCTTCTACAGAAGTCCTGGGACTACTGGATTTCCAAGGAGGTGTTAGACCCCTACCTGACATCATATTGAAAAACAAGCTCAAAGTGGATAAAACATATTTAAGAGCCAAGAGTGTCGTAATTTGTGACAGCTAAAAAGCAGAGCCACCTCAGTGTCCACTCATGGTGAGCAGATGAAGAACAAGGGCATAGGAAAGGACGCTTTCATCTGTAAAGAAATGAAGTACCCAGCTGGGCACAGTGGCACACGCCTATAATCCCAGCGGCTGGGGAGGCTGAGACAGGAGGATCGTGAGTTCAAAGCCAGCCTCAGCAGTGGTGAGGCTCTAAGCAACTCAAGTCTTTAAAATAAAAGACCCTGTCTTTAAAATAAACACAAAATAGGGCTGGGGATGTGGTTCAGTGGTTGAGTGCCCCTCAGTTCAATCCCCTGTATCAAATAGAAAAAAGAACAAGAAATGAAGTACCCGTATTTGCTACAGCATAGACGGAGCTGTAAAATGTGCTCAGTGAAGGATGCCAGGCACAGAAGAGCCACATCTGACATGACCCCAGTGATAGGAAATGCTGAGAATGCAGATCCGTGGGTGGGTGGGTGGGAGTGGGATTAAGTGTGAACAGGCATGGGGTGTCTCAGGTATGGGCAGTGTCCTATAACTAGATTGTGCCCTAGTCGCACAATTTGATTTTACTAAAAACCAGTGACGTGTATGCCTAAAATACACACTTGTATGGTATGTGAATTATTTATCAGTAAAGTTGTATAACCAGGAAATTTGGCTAAAAATAATGACGAATGATGAAGTGGTTCCCATTACCTTGCAGTTTTCCTCTAAAGTTTAACCCTGGCCTCTACCTTTAACACACCTCATCTGGGTGTCACTGTAGCTGTCAGGGAGCACTGACTATCTCTTCTTCCTGGTCAGGTGCTGATATCTCTAACGTGTGCAATGAAGCAGCCCTGATTGCTGCCCGCCACCTGAGTGCTTTTGTCCAGCAGAAGCATTTTGAGCAGGCCATTGAGAGAGTCATCGGAGGTGAGCCCATCTGCCCCTGGGGAGGAGAGGCATTTCCAGCTCTGCTCCTGGCAGGCCCCCCCCAGCCCAACCTCACTTTTGCATAGGGAGACATGATTAGTTTTCTAAGCCAAAATTTGGGTCTGTGGATCTCCCATCAGCTTTCCTGCCCTTGGGACTGTGTGCAGTCCATCTGAGGGTCAGTCTTAGATGTGGAAGGCAAAGCAAGTCCTCCCTGAAGGGAGGGGAGGAAGACAGAACGAATGGCAAGTCTTGGGAAGCCTTTGGGAGCTCTCTTGGCACAGCACTGCTGAGGAGTGAGTGTCAGTGTCTTCTTCAGCTTGGCGGGTAACTACCATCTTCAGCCAGCAGTGGGTGAGACAGTCTCCTGCAGTTTGGGGAACCCCAGGACTCAGCTGGGCCAGGCAGGTGGCAGCTGGAGTTAGCAGTGGGTCAGGGTCTTCTAGGGCCACCAGAGTTGCCAGAGGCTGCATGGGCTGGCCTGGCTCTTCTTGGTGCTGTTCCTGGAAATGGAGATTATAGAGGCAGCAGTAGCACATCCTTATGGCCCTGCCCCATGCTGAGACCCACATCAGCCAGCTGGGAGGTTATCCTTGAGCTTCGTTTTCATTTGTTTTTTTGACATATAATATCTACTAAATAGCTCAAAGCAAAACCCGGAATTTGTCAAGGGCATTCTGGGGGCTGATGACCCATGCAGCTCAACATGTGCTGCTCTTGTTTGCTTCTCTGTCCTGTCACTGTGGGGCTGGGCTGTGAGATCTTTGGGAACTGCCCTCTTGTTCCACCATGCTTGGGTTTTGCCTCTTGTCATGCCCCAGAAAGGACACAGCACCTCTGACTCACATTGGCTCACAGCTGCTGCTTGAAGCAGCCTGTGCCTGAGGAGTGGGAAGTAGGGTGGGGCCTGGAGGTTGGGTGGGAATGTCCCCCAGAACTAGGACATAGCATGGAGCTACACTTTGGGGCAGCCCAGGCCTCTCTGCCACCTTCTGCCCTAGAGGGAGGGACTCCCAGGTGGGTGTTGGGAATCAAGTGTGGCAGCAGATCCAGGCCCTCAGTCTGGTGGGGTGTATGTTGGGCTTTTTTCCCCTGCCTCTCACTCACCTGGGAATGTGATTTGTAGGCTTTGAGAAGAAGACTCAGGTCTTGCAGCCCAGTGAAAAGACAACCGTGGCCTACCATGAGGCAGGGCACGCAGTGGTAGGCTGGTTCTTGGAGCATGCAGACCCCTTGCTGAAGGTGGGTCTCTTGTGCTGAGTGTGTCTGCCCGTGGAGCCTAGGTGTTACCTGCTCATGTGCCTGGCGATCCAGCCAGTTCATGTGGGCACAGCCCTCCTGGGGGTGACCCTTTCATTTTTCAAGGCATGTGCTGGTCTTGAGTCTGTTAGATTCCTTGTGGGGGCAGGGGGAGAAGAAGCATTAGGAAGGCAGAGCAGGGTGTGTTGGCTCTAGGTTGGGCCTCAGCCACTGACTCCTGAGAAGTCAATCCAGAACTTGCTTTGCTCCTGAGCGTTGGATTTGATCCCTGTCAGAAGAGGTTTCCATAGCAACCTCTTGAGCTGAGCCCCTAGGCAGGGCCAGTGCATTTCTCAGGGTGACACTTCCTGTCAGTGGTGGGGCTGAGGCCCAGGGCTCTCTTCTCCAGCTTGTAAGGGGTGAGCCCCTGGCCAGGGCTGTGAGAGGGTGTGTCTGGGCTGCACTGGGGTGCTGCTGGGGGACTGACGAGCTTGTGGCCCCTCTTTTGCAGGTGTCCATCATCCCCCGGGGCAAGGGGCTTGGGTACGCCCAGTACCTTCCCCGTGAGCAGTACCTCTATACGCGGGAGCAGCTTTTTGACCGCATGTGCATGATGCTGGGCGGCAGGGTGGCTGAGCAGCTGTTCTTTGGGCAGATCACCACTGGGGCTCAGGATGACTTGAGGAAGGTTACCCAGAGCGCCTATGCCCAGGTAAAGAGCAGCTGTCCTGTGAGTGGCTCTTGGTGCTGTGTTGGGGGCGGCTCACCCTCTGCTCCTTTTGTACTTGCAGATTGTGCAGTTTGGGATGAGTGAGAAGCTGGGCCAGGTGTCCTTCGACTTCCCCCAGCCAGGTGAAGCCCTGGTTGAAAAGCCGTACAGTGAGGCCACTGCCCAGCTCATTGATGAGGAGGTCCGGCGCCTCATTGGCTCTGCCTACGACCGCACCCTGGAGTTGCTGACTAGGTGCCGGGAGCAGGTGGAGAAGGTGAGGGGAACCTATGGCCAGGGAATGGGAGGGAGTCCCCTTGTAGCAGCCTGACAGATGGACTGTCATCTCCAGGTAGGCAAGCGGCTCCTGGAAAAAGAAGTGCTGGAGAAGGCCGACATGGTGGAGCTGTTGGGCCCTCGGCCCTTCGTGGAGAAGTGCACCTATGAGGAGTTCGTGGAGGGCACTGGTATCCTAGAGGAGGATGCATCCCTTCCCGAGGGCCTGAAGGGCTGGAACCAGGGACGGGAGGAGGGGGCACAGAGCAGCACTTGCAGGAGAGCCCTGCCTAGCCTGTGTGCAGCCACCTGCAGTCACGATGGCTGGGCTCCCAGGCAGCAGCTGCTACCCAGAGCGTGTGCAGAACAGCTGCCAGAGTAACTGGAAAACAGATTAAAATAAGTGACAACCCCAGACAGACATTTAGATCAGGTGCTCACAGTCTAGAGAGGAGAGGGAGGGGAGGTGGCAGCCACCAGAGAGGAGGTGGCTGAAGGGGCAGAAGCGGTTCTCCAGCCCTTGGACCTCATTCCTAGGGTGACTTTGGTCAGAGGGAGAGACATCTGGGCTCTGACCCGTGGGAGCCAAGGAAGGACAAGAATCTTCCTGGGGAGCCCTGGGTGTAGTGGCCACTAGGAATCTGGATCTTGTGGTGGAGACAGGCCCTCAGTGTCCTAGTGAGCCTGTCCGTGGGGAGGTGTGAAGGTGGGTTGTCTCAAAATGGCTTGGAGGAAGAGTGTGGCCCAGCACAGACACCCCAAGGTTTGGTGAGGTAAAGAGAAGGAAGTGGTAAGCCAGTTAGTTACCAAGGACATCTGGGTCCACAGTGGCCATTGTGTGGGGGAGAGTGGTTGTTTGGTAACCAAAAAGGAAACGTCACCACACTTGCATCCCTGAGTTGAAGGCAGGGGTCATAGGGCGCCATCTGGGGCCTGGGCCCTGTGGCAGCAGCATCGTTTAAGCTTAAGGGAGACTTGGGCTCTCACCAGAGCCTTGCCCAGGGTGGGCATGCCTTACTGACCAAGATGAGTAGAGACTCTGCTTTCCCCAAAATCCCTTGTGTTGAGGTTTAGGGGAGGATCTGCGGTGATCCCCCATGGCCTCCCCACAGCCCTGAGGGAGGGTTTGTAGGGCCTTGAAGCCTCTGCAGATGCCGCCTCTATTAATCCTCTTCTGTCTTTTTCAATAAAAAGAAGACTGGTTCTGGGTCATGGGCTCCAGACCTCATGATGCCCTGAATTGAAAGTGTCCCCCTCTTTCCTTGGTCCTGGGGTTTGAGGACCCCTACTGTTGGGGCTCAGCGTGACTGAATGGGCCTTAGTGAAAGTGGGCTTCCTCCTGTATCACAGGTGTGGGTGTGAGCCATTCCAGCTGGCAGGCGCATCTGGCAGGCGCATCTGGCGTAGCTTGGCTGTTGGCCAGTGTCCTGGGTGCCCATCTGACAGGAGGTTCCGCTTGCTGCCCCACACTCCAGACCCTGGCCAAACTCTGACTTTCTAGGGACTGGCACTTTCAACTTTCATAGATTGTAAAATGTACATTGTTGAATTTTTTAAATCTCAGGCTCCACCTAGATCATGGTCTTCACCAAACCCAGATGAGTTGAGGCATTTGGGGACTTCTTGGGTTCCCTTTGATGGAGGCCAAGGGTGCTCCCTCAACTCCAGAGGCCCCTGTGGTAGGGCCTCCAGGGTCCAGTCTGCCTTGTGCATTCAGGTCCTCAGGCCTCGGCACCTCTTTCTAGCCACACCTGAGCTGCTCCTGGTAGAACACAATCGGGCCAGCTCCTTGGTGTCTTCCTCTACCCTCTTTACCTGTTTGGTCCAGTCCCCCACCCCCGTGTGTCTTTCACAAGGTGTTCAGTAATTAGCACAGTCTATGTCTTCTTGTCCACCCTAACTCAGTGAGGTCATCCTATAGTCCTGTGGGTGCTGCTCTTTCTGCCACAGAAATCTCATGCTAAAGAGTTGCCAGCAGATGAATGAGCCTATAGGAGGCGGAGCCAGCAGCCCTTTTCCCGGTTAGAACTGGGAGCAGGTAAGGCTAGTAGGGCCTGTGCTTGACCAGGGTCTGCATCCAGGTCCATGTCCTTAGCTGCCTGAGGGAAGGGAATTTAGAATGGGATGTGTCAGAGAGTGTCAGGAGTCACCCCCTTCCCAGAAAGCACGAGTCTGTTTCTGAGTCCATAACATAGAAGCCTGGCTTTCTGCTAGGGAGGGTCCAGGCTTCCCTTCTGGAGCCTCACAGGGCAACTTTGTGCTGAGGAAGAATGCACATGTATGGGCCAGGCAGAAAGCAGGTCAGACCTGGCTGGGCCTCCTCCCTGGCCTGCCAGCGGCCTTACTGTGGCTGTCTCAGGACATGGCCCTGCTGGGAAGGCTGATCGCCAGGGAGCGCCTGCTCTTCTGGTTTGGACTACCTTTGTGGGCTTATGTGGGCAGCACATTTATTCCAAAGAATTCCTTTTGCTGTCTTAGGGGATAGGAATCAGGGCACTGTCCTTAAAATGCAACCCAGCAAGCAGCCTGGCGCACAGGGCAGCTGGAGCACGGCCAGTGCCCTCACCACAGCAGGCCTGGTGTGCCTGTGGCATTTGGAAGGAAGAGCCTGGCTCAGGCCTTCAGAGGGTGGCGGAACTTTAATCCCACTCAGCGTGCCCCCCAGTGGCTGCAGCAGAAAGGGTGGGAAGTGGGGAGGGAGACCCTGGGGCACACAGCTGCCTTTATGAGGTGAAAGAGATAGCTGCTCAGTTCTTTTCCACTGGAAATCAGAGACCTGGTCAGGCAGGAACTGGACTTTCCTTCAGAGGCCAATAGTACATGGAGGTGGGGTGAAGGATCAGAAGTGGGAGCCTCCTGGATGTCCCCAGCACATGGCAGAAGCCCAGTGCATCCCTCTAGTGGAGACCTGTGAAAACGAAGACCAAGGGCCTGTCTTCCTTCCCCAGAAACACTTCAGTGTGGAGCAGAGCAGGGCAGGTTGACTGGGGACACAGAGCAAGCTTGCAGTTTTTTTCAAAACCAGTCTTTGATTCACATTCAGACCAGAAGACTATTCTGGGTCTCTTCGCACATAAAAAGGAATTTTGGGAGCAGCTGGGTTGGGTGCCTAGGACATCCCCACAGCAGAGAGAGAGTAGGCCTGTTGGCCCTACCTCCCCTGCCCCTCCTTGGAATATTCCCAGGATCCACTCCCAGGGTCACAGAGTGTGTTTGATAGGCTGTGCTGGGGCTGGGCAGTGGGATGTGGAAAACAGACAAAACTAGGTGCCCTTGTAATAGATGTGGGATGGGAGAGGGCGAGCCGCCCCCCCTCGAGCGGTCTGGGAGGTGGTGCTGAGGTTCTGAGGCAGTCTGGCAATATTTGGTGTTCTAAGCTAAAGAGGAGGTGGGCCAGGCCCTCAGCCCCAGGCTGTCATACCCAGGGACAAGAGAAGCAGGCACAAGTTGTAGAGGGTTACCTGGGCCGGGGGGACCTGGTACCAACATGCCTTCCTTGGACAGAGGGGAAGGGACAAGGTTGAAATCAAGGTGGAGGTTTTCTGGACTGAGCCTCCCCCCATGTTTGGCTGGGGGCGGTGTAGTGACCCAGGAGCCACTGCCAAACCCACTGTGGCTTCCAAGCATGGTGGCATGAAGAGATGCTGAGATTGGAGACCCCAGGGGGTTTTGGAGTGGCTCTCACAGGCTTGGATCCCCCTCACCCCAAGCATACTGGGGAATCTTTTGACAGACAAAGAGCATTGCTCCTATAGATGGAAGTTTCCAGAAGGTTTAGGCCACCATTGTTCATTCTTTGCTTCATCCTCAAGCAGTGACTCCAGGTGGTATGGTCCCTGTTCCAGGGTCCAGAAACCAGCTGGATGTAAGGCCACTGGGCTGTGCTTGTGCTGGGGTGACCTGAGGCCTGCACTGGCAACCCTACCCTGACCTGCTGTCAGGAGCCTTATGGGGAGGGTGGAGGGGCGGAGCGTGTCCTGGGTCTGAAGTGTCTTGCTTTGCCACCCTGGTGGTGGTCGAGCCTCAGCCCTGTGGTGTCTCTGGAGCAGATGGAACTGGCCTAATCCTCCTTGGGTCCTTCCACGGTGAGAAATGTGTCCACAGTGGCAGCCTGTCGCTCTGGGTCGCTGAGGGGCTGCTTCTCACGGTTCTGCTCAGCCCTTGTCTTCGTCCAAGAGGGGGAACGCAGACAGCCAGCCCTAGGCAGCGGGTGTAGACCTGATGGAAGCAGACCAGATGCTCTGGTGGGCACGTGTGGCTGGCATCTCTGCCAGCCCCGAGTCACTGGCTGCAGCTGCTGCCCTGGGCCCCCGTGCCTCGCACATGGAAGTCTCTAACCCTGGGTCTGCCACTGGGTGGGTTGCGGTGGGGATGTGCACAGAATACAGAGATGTGGACAGATGACTCCTCTGGTGGCCTCAGGAGTCACTGCAGTCTCTGCCATGTCTGACCCCCTATCATGTGAACCTAACTCTGGCCCCCTCCTAGTGAACCTGGCGGGGCCTCCCCAAAGCTCCCAGTGTCCCAGTGCAGCCTGGGGCCCTGTAGGCTGTCTGGGGCTAGAGGTTCAGGTGGGCTAGCCACAGCAGCCACAGGCCAACCTTCACCCCGCACACACCTTTGGGCTTATGGGTTGGAAGGGCCACTGCCTGGGACACATTGAGCCTAGTGGGAATTGGCTGGGATCAGGCAGGTGGCTTGTCTTAGAAGTAAGCTGGGACAAGCTGTTCACAAGGACAGAGCCAGGGTCACCCATCGATTGCACCCTGCCCCCCTCCCTGGTGCCACTGTCATGCTTAGGAGCCTGGACTCCCCAGGGAGACACAGTCTGCCCCTCCCCATAAGCCCCTCCAGGGAACATGTGGGTGGCTGGTCACTGACAAGATCCTCAGTAGGCCTTGTCCTTAGTGAGGCCCCCAGGGTGTGTGTGTACAGGGTTAGCCTGAGCCATGGGTGCAGTGTGTAGGTTCCAGCCTGGGCCTGGGCGTGGAACAGGCGCAGGGTCTGGGCCTCTCTGGGAGCACTGGGTGCAGGTCACGTCAGTGACCTTCACTGTTAGGGACAGACTGAAGGACACTTGTGTCCCCCTAGGGTGGATCCCGAACTCTGATGCTGGGCTTGGGGTAGAGACAGGAGGATGGCATGCCCAGGACAGTTGCTCGTGAGGTGGGCAGAGGGAAGGGCCTGGGATCTCCAGCCAGTGTCAGCACCTCCTTGGGAATGGGGGGGGGGGGGGCCAGGCAGTGAGCCAAGAGGAGCCCAGGCTGTCAGATTTACCCCACCCCACCTTGTGTTTAGTCTAACATTAACATTTACATTTAATAAATACTTTTTAAGTGACTGTGGCTTTGGCTTCTTGTTGTTCATTTGAAAGGTAAAGCTGAGCAGAGCACTTCTGACAGGAGGGGAATTCCTTCATGCTGGGAAGCTGGTGTAAGACCATGTGTTGGCCACACATTTGTTCCTGAATGCAGGGCCTGCCCCTGCTAGGCACGTGCACTACCGGTGACCCACACCCCCAGCTCTTGGAGATAGGGTCTTGCTAGGTGGCCCAGGCTAGCCTTAAGCTTGGGATCTTCCTGCTTCAGCCTCCCAGACTGCTAGGATTACACATGTGGCCACTGCACCTGGCAGGATTGGGGAGAAGTCACCTTCCCCCGCCCTGCATGCCTCACCTGCTGGAGATTCACTGGTCAGGTTCTCATCATCAGAGTCGGCAAAGACCTCGGCCAGCTCCTGGTCTGACATGTCTGTCAGCTCGGTGAGATCCAGAAGGTCAAAATGGACCTCCAGAGAGGAGACGCTGCTCAGGGGCTCTGGGGTACAAGAAGATGGTCACCTCACAGTCCCTCCAACAAGGCTCTTCAGAGCCCAGGGGGCCTAGGAAAGTGCACCGCCTCTTTCCACAGGCCCACGAATGAACCAGAGCTTTCTGCAATGCTAGCCCAGGACGCGCCTGGGGCAGAACAGGCCCGGGTGGTCTGCTCTGCAGTCAAGAGTGGAGAGCTCTCTGGGGTCTTCCATTTCATAAGTAGCAAGACAGGCCGAAGAGCCAAAGTCATGAGAACTCTGCAAGGGCTCAGCATGGCCAGACCGCCTCACACCGTGTCCTTGCCCTCTAGAGCCAGGCTGCTTTGTTCCCTGTGGAGCTAGGGGTCCCCAGAGAGGATACTGGGCTGGTCAGGGATACTTACGCCTCCTCTCTGTGACCTGCAAGAGCCCTGGTGCTGGTATCGGGATGCCCACCTCCTCCTCAGCCACAGGAGTATGGCAACTGCTCTCTGTTCCATGAGCTGGGACACCCAGGGCAGCCGGTGGCACCTCTGCCTCCTTAATGATCTCTGCAACCAAGAGAATTTTACCATCAAGGCCCCTGGGATTGGGCCTGGGAAGGGGGGCATGAGGACCTGGTATGTTGAATCTTACATTGAGGCTTGGGCAATGGCCACAGGTATCCAGGGGAGGCTTCAAACAAAAGGGGGATAAGTAGGGGACATTTCAAAGCAGATGTCTGCACAACCCCAGGGCCCCAGCACCAAGCTGCTCCTGCAGTGGGAATTCACCTTATCCTGTCAGCTCAGCCCTCAGGGGTCCCAAAGCCAGCTCTTTACTGTCTTTTCTCTGTAGACTTTTTCTATTAAAAACCCAGGTTATATCTGGTTTCAAAATGAAAAGAAGGTTACAAAGTAAGACAGGAAGTGCGGTCTGTCGTCCTAGCATTCCTTGGCCAACAGCCTCACTGTACAATTGGGTAAATGTTCTTCCAAGTTATTTCTGTGCGATTTTTTTTTTAAATGTATTTTTTTTTTTTAATCCCTGTCAGATGGGAACAGGAACCCCCAGGGACCTGCTTGGATGGAGACTGTGCCCTGTGGTCCCATGCAGCCACCAGCTGCCCCTTCTGGTCACTCGGGATTCATTTCTCCATCCACACATCCCCTCTATTCCTCTTCCAGAATGTACCAGAACCCCCTGCCTGCCCCTAGCTCCTCCTCTGTGGCCACATCCCAGTGCCTTCCCTCCTCACTCCCACACAGCCAAAGGAGCCTGCTCACCAGTTAGGCCTGGCCCCACAGCCCCTCTCCCCCAGAGAAGAGGCAGAGTATCCTCCTCATTTTCTTCCCAATATGTCCCCTGTCCCCTGGAGCCCTAGCCCCTTCATGAGGGCTTCTCTGACCTCTGACACCCACCCAAGCAGGTGCTTGTTGTGCGCTTGGGTAGGAGTGGCCTGCACGGGGCCTGGAAGTGGAGGCCTTCCTGCAGCCTTGGCTGTGCACATGGAACCAGTTGGGGAGCAGCTGCTCCCAGGAGGCTGCCTTGAGGGGGCCTCACTGGGGGCTCCCAGCACTGACAGCTGCCTGTGAGGGGCGGCCCGTCTTCCCTAATGACCCGGGTGGCAGTGTGGATACTGCTAGGTGAGACACCTGCACCTGATGACCCTACTTCCATCTCCAGCTGAGCCAAGGAAGATAAGAACATGGAGAGACAGATGCAAAGTGAGGACCACCTGTGCAGGCCGGTGGGGGTCCCCACCTTTCTCTGGGTCATTGCCAGTGGTAAAGAGAGCTAGGCAGAGTGTAGGAGATAGGGGGGTCTGGCAGTAGCTGATGGCAGGATGATGGGCAGCCTGTCAAGTTCTGCCTGGGATGCAGCCCCCTGGCCCGACTGCTGTCTCCTTGCCAGGTTGCCTAGGACCTCCATTTAGTGGAAAACCAGCCTGCTGTCCCTGGTGCCCTTAGGTTGCATCGCTGCATGGCCTGTCCCAGGCCTGGGGACTGGTCAGTCTGGAAGGGCACAAGGTATCCTGTTTCTGCTTGTATTGGCATCTGGAATGTGGTATGGTTTCCAAGTGTCCTTGGAGGGTAAAGTTACATCTGCTGGCGTCCTGGCCCCCAACCCAGCAAGGAGGCCTTCCACTTTCCAGAGCGCACACAGATGTGATTTAGATCTTAATCTGATTAGGGGAGCTGGCACTCCCCTCACCAGTAAGTAGGGGGACAATGGCCCAAATCACTGTCCACAGGGTTGAAACCCAGGGAGAGGACACATCACAGGAGACGTCAAGGTCCCCTACCTTAGGGTACAAGTGTATGATTTCTATACCACGGGCCTGTCCTGTGGTCACCATTCCTCAACACTCCATAGAGCTCAGAGCTGCACCCCCTGGTGTGGCAGGAAGACTCCACTGTGGCTAGAAGCTCAGGAAGGAGCTGCCATCTGTCTGGAGAGACATGTGACCAAGAGCTAAGAGGTACAGGTAGGGAGACTGAGGCGTGGAGGGCCTGGATGACTCGCCGGGAGTCCCTGCTCTAGAGAGCCCCTAGCTAAGGAAGCCACAGGATGCTCTTACCTCCCCAGGCTTAAGGGCCAGGCATGTGGCCCAGGGCTATCCTTATGCTACTGTAGGTGGCCCTCAGCTCCACCTCTGCCCCCTTTTGTCCCAATGGCCGCCCCCTCGCTAACAGCTTCCCTGAAATCAAGGAAAAGCAGCTCTGTAGAAAGCCACCTCTGGGAGATAGCCCCCGCCTGGGCAGTGGCTCAGGGATTTCTAGTGCTTGTGTCAGGCAGTCTCCTTCCATGTTGCCCACTGCCTGCCTCCTCACAGCCACCTACGGGGGGTGGATAAGGAGACAGGCACAGGGTGGCGTCTATCGTCAGCACGGTATGAGGACCAGCTCTGATTCCAGGGTAATGGTGCAAGGCTGAGAGCAGGGGATCTCTGTTCAGAGCCAGCAGAGCGGGAAGAACCCTTCCAACTCAGGTGGGAAGTAGAATTCTGAAAGAGGAGAGAAGTGGGGTCTCCACTCGCAGCTGGCCTCTTGCTTGGTGGGGCCCTCACCTAACACGAAGGCACGCAAGCACACATCTGTCCGTCCAACAAAGACTGCTTCCACGCCATGCTGTTCTGGAGATGAGGCATGAACATGAGGAGCAGGCTGTATGCAGGAGTAAAGGGGCCTTTCTTTCATTCCAGGGAAAGGCCAGGAGGGCTGTCTACAGAGACAAGGGAAGGCTCTGAAGGAAGCCATGCTGTACCTGGGCCCAGGCCCTGGCACTGGACTGCAGAAGTCCTGAAGGGCATGTCACTGTCATCTGAAGCACAGCCAGGGGCACTGCAGTGGGACCAGGAGAGCAGGGTGAGGGTGGGCAAGGGTAGGGGGAGATGGTGGGCTGTGTGAAGGTCACGTGGACAGTTAGTAAAGGGTTCTAGGCTGAGACGGACAGCGTCTGCCTGCATGTTTATGGTGGTACAGTGAGGACACAGTCCAGGCAAAAGGGAAGAAGTCTGCTGGCACTGTTCCCACCGGCTCCATGTGCCAGTTCCCCTCCACTTGTGCAGAGATGGGCTACCCTGAGTAGGACTCAGCCAAGGGCCAAGCTCCATCCCCAAGTCTTGCACTGGGGAGGGTTTGTGAACACCATCATGCCTCATTACAGGTCCTGGGATCTCACAGGGTCTTGGTCAGCCCTGGAGAAACCCAGCTCCCCAGGCACAGCCTGTTAAAATGACTCTTAAGATCTTTTCGAATTTTAACAGTTGATGGTATCTTCAAGTTAGCTGGATATGGGGCAGGCAGTACCCGTTTCTCTCTCTCTCTCTCTGTCTCTCTCTCTCTCTCTCTCCCTCCCTCCCTCCCTCCCTCTCTTTTTGTGTGGTGCAGGAGATGAATCCAGGGCTTCACACAGCTAGGCAAAGGCTCTATCACTGAGCTATACCACAACCCCCTGAACTTTTGAAGTTGCCATCTGTCTAGTTTTGATCCTTTGGTCATGATCTGGACTTTATTCTGTAAATCCTGGTCCCATGATCTGTGCAAAAATTGGGGGAGAAAAATGTAGAAGATGCAACTTTTGCCATCAAGAGCACAAATCTTTTGGTTGTAAGAACACAATGAAAACAGAAAACTGAAGTCAAAATGCAAGGGACAGATGAAGCCTGAGCCCCCAGGAAGGGGCAAGACTGACCTTGGCATATAAAGTGGTGTGGCTGCTGTGGAAATAGTCTTCCAGATTCTCAGATCAAGCCTAGAGTTACCACAAACCCAGCATTTTCACTCCTAGGCACTACCCAAGAGAGATGTGAATCTATATCCACACAAAGACTTGGACGTGAATGTTCACAGCAGCATGGTCCCTGAAGTGGAAACCCAACGTCTACTAACAGAGAACGGTAAACTAAATGTTGATCATGTGGACTATCCATAAGTGGAACATTAACCAACAATATAAAGCAACGATACATACCACACATAGGTAGACTTCAACATTACAGGGAGTGTAAGAACAGTCACAAAAGGTCACTTATTGCATGGTTCCATTGTATCAAATGTTCAGAATAGGAAAATCCATAGAAAGTAGATTGGTGATTGCCAGGGCTGTGGGATGGGAGTGGGGAATGAACATAGTTGTTTGGGGGAGGTGATGAAAATATTTTAATATTAGTGATGATGACTGCACAATTTTATGGATGTAACAAAAACACTGAATTGCATGCCTCAAAAGGGTAAAATTTAAGCTGGGCAGGTGGATGGATCTATCACTTGTGGACTTGCACTGGGGAGGGTTTGTGAACACCATCATGCCTCATTACAGATCCTGGGAAGCCCTCCGAGTGCCAGAGGAAGGCATAGTATGTGGCTGTGGGGGTGCATGCCTGTAATTCCAGTAGCTTGAGAGGCTGAAACAGGAGAATTGTGAGTTCAAAGCCAGCCTCAGCAAAAGCCAGGCACTAAGCAACTCAGTGAGACCCTGTCTCTAAATAAAATATAAAATAGGGCTGGGAATGTGGCTCAGTGGTCGAATGCCCCTAAGTTGAATCCCCAGTACCAAAAAAAAAAAAGAGGAAAAAAAAAAAAGAAAAGAAAAAATTTATGATATTAGAATTATATCTCAATTAAAAAACAATCCTCAGTAGTAACAAATAAGGGTTGATCTTGGCTGGAGTTGATGGGCAAACCCAGGGTGAGAAGTGATACACACCAGTGTGTTGTGTGCATATGATGGCAGGCAGCATGCACAGCCCCAGGGGAGGCTTGGATTGGGTGAGAGGTGTGATTCCCGGGAAGCAGCTCCCATTTAGTTCATGTGATTTCCCAAGACCTATGCTTGGACCCAGAGCACAGCAGGCCCACAACAATTGTGAATGAATGATCCCAAGACCACTCAGGTCGGCAAGAAGAATCAGAACCCCTTCGGGGCAAGGCCCTTGGCTATTTCCAGGGTAGTAAGCAGAGTCACATGTCAGGCAGGCACTGGGTGGGATCCTGGAAGCCTAGCTAAGCCATGACGTGATGGGCTGGAAGCCCCTGGAATCGCCCTGGCCAGGGCAAGTGGGTGTTTTCTTGTTGCTGTTGTTGTTTTTGCAGTGCTGAGGATTAAACCCAGGTCCTTTGTGTGCTAGACAGGCACTCCCACACTGACCTGTACTCCCAGCCCTTTTAATATTAAGACAGGGTATTACTAAATTGCTAAGGCTGTCTTCAAACTTGTAATCCTCCTGCCTCAGCCTCCCAGGTAGCTGGGATTACAAGTATGTGTCACCCATGGTGCCTGGCCATGTGGGTGTTTCCAGTGCTCCAGGAAGGACCCCAGGTATGGGGATCACAGCAATGTCGTTGACCCAGCAGACCCATGTCAGTGTGGGCAGGGAGCCCCTAACCCCCTACAGAGATTGCTGCTGCCTGGACCTATGGGTGGGGACTTGAGTTGGGGAGCCACAGTCCTGCCCACCAGTTTTCCCCCAGGGCCGACTGCTGACACCTGTGCTTTGCTGCTGACCTATTTTCCAGCCCATTTGTGCCTGGAAAACTTGGCCCAAATCTCATGTCCCCTGCTGTACTCCCAGGGCCTTGCCACTCTACATACCACTGAATGAATGAACAAGTGAATTAATGAAGTGAATGAATAAATGCAAAAGAAAAATGGCTGCAGAGAGGAAGAGATGGTCAGCAGTAGGAGCCACTTCTGCCCTGTTTCCCCAGCACCTTCATCCCTGAATCTGGTCTCCCTCAAGGATTTTAAGGAGGCTGAGCTGCCCCGACTAGACTCATAGGCTTCTAAGGGTAGGGCCATGGCCCCTCTCTTTGTCCCTGCTGATCCTCAGACAGACTGAAGTGGGATGGGATAGAGCCCTGCTGTCCAAAGATGCTAGCTGTGCCCCTCAAGGAATGCCCACTTGGCATTCCTGTACACAGGTCTCACTTCTATGGTCTGCACACTTTGATATTAAGACATTGTTATTAATTCTCTTAGGTGCAAAGTATATTTTGTTACTGGAGACCAAACCAGGGTTGCCTTATCACTGAGCTACATCCTCAGCCCTTCTAATTTTTTATCTCGAGACAGGGTCTTGCTGAGTTGAACTTGTGATCCTCCTGCCTCTACTTCCCAAGTCACTGGGATTACAGGTATGTTCCACCATACCTGGCAGGTACAAAATATTTTGATGATGCTTTATCTTATATTTTAGAGGTGATTTCTTAAATGAGTATGGATGAAATAATAGGCCTATATTTGCTTCCAAATACTACTGAAGATAGGCTGGAAGTGGTCTGGATAAGCTGGCCTGGTTGTGGTCTGTGGGCTGAAAGGTGGCATGGAGCTTTAGTTAATAGGGCTCACTACTTTGTGGATGCTCCATATGCCCCCAAATAACATTTCAACAGTGAGAACTCAGATATGGGCATCATAATCACCAACATGAGGCTTCACGAGGTCTCACGAAGTAGAGCTCACTAGCCCAGGTGTAGACAAGGGAACAGGGCTAAAGGTATCAATGACATGAGCCCCATCTGTTCCCTGGCCAGGTCCCTAACTGTAGGCACAGTGCCTTCACAGAACAAGCACCTGGAAGAAGTGTCTGTGCACAGACTGAGTTAGGATCTGAGAACCCAGTCAGTAAGTGATGCACTTAGAAAATCAGCCTGCTCTCTGCCTTTAAACTACTGAGAAGTTCTTTCTTTCCTCAGAGGAGGAGAGAAAAAAAGCTCACCTCTTCTCCCAGGTGCCTCACCTCTTACCTCACCCTGGCCTCCCACAGCCCTATAGGGTAAAGGGGCTGCATCCTCTGACATGGAAATGGAGGCTCAGGGTGCACTAGCAGCTTGCCACATGTCACAGTTCAGAATTAGCTCTGAGTCCCCCAAGCCATTGCATTCCGGTCCTCCCCACTTTTGGTGGCTAGGAGGCTGCTACTGGGAAGACCCAAGGTCCTGGGATGTCAATAGCAAGAGAGCTCTGATCCACCCCCCATGACAAAACAGAAAACCCAAACCCACTAGCTTCAGGGTGTGTCTCCTGCTTAGAGAGAGTGACAAGAGACTCAGACAGGACCCCCACCCCCATTACCAGACACAGTGGCAGGTGGATGGATCCATCGCTTGTGGACAGCTCCTAGGGGCAGCCCTCCGAGAAAGGCGCAGTATGTGGCTGCGGGGTGGGGTGGGGGGCTGGAGGGGCGGGGGCAGACTGGCAGCTGGCCTCTCCCCCAGACACTGGCTGGCTCCCTGGGATGGGATATCCAGGACATCCAGGATGTCTTAGGCCTGGGCAGGCAGCCTGGAGATCACTGAAAACCGGTCTGGAAGAGATGTGAAATGGAAGGGTTCTGACAGTGCCCTCAGATCTACAGCCACCACCCTGTCCTGGGCTTGAGTCAAGGGAGGAAGACCTGCCTCAGGATCTCAATCCTCAAGGGAAGGGTCCCCAAGAACTGACAGGAGCTGCGAGGAGAGGGCATCCCAGGCAGCCTGCCCTCCCAGACGTGTGGCCATTAGGCCGCGCGGACCCGCCAGCCTGCAGCTCGGGAGCCCCGGCGCAGCCCCCACGGCCTCACTGACCCCGCCTTGCTCCCGCGCCCCTCGCAGCCCCCAGCCCCCCCCCCCCCCCCCGCCCCCCGTAAAAGCGGTTGCGGCGAACAAAGCCGACCGAAGACAAGCCCTCACCGGCGCGCCCATGCCTCGCCGACCCCGACCCCAAACTCCGGCCCCCACCCGCCCCATCTCTGCCCCTGGATCCCGGCTCGGCTGGGAGGGGGCTCAGGACGAAACTCCAGGCCACCTCCCGAGGAGGGCGCCGGGCCGGGCTTCCCGAGTCGCGAGTGCAGAGGACCAGGGGGCGGGGACGCAATCCGTGCGCCCCTAGCCCCGCGCAGGGACGGTTTCCGGGAGGAGCCCGGACCGGAGGGCCCCCAGCTCGGGGCCCGGCGCGGCGGGAGCCCGGAGCTGACCGCGGGTCTTCGGCCCCGGGCGCAGCGGATGGGTGAGCCGGGGGAGGGGCTGCGGCTGGCCGCGGGCCAGGAGCCGCCGGAGCTCCGGGGCTGGGTCCGCACTTACCTCCAGGACCAGCGCCCTCCGGGGGCTCCATGCGGCTAGCGGGGTCTGGGAGGGGCGCAGGCGGAGGCGGCGTCACCCGGCCGGGGCGCCCCAACAGCTGCAGCGGCGACTCGGCCCGGGATCCAGGCACAGCGCATCGGGGCAGCAGCCGGGGGGCCGCGGCGGCGGGGAGGAGCCCGCGGGGCGGGGCGCGCAGCTGCTCCGGGTCCCGGGTCCCCTCCCCATCTTCCCCAGCCGGGCAGGACAGGTGCGGCCCCGCCCTTTTCCGCGCGCGCCCCCTGTCGGCCCAGGGTCCTGCAGCCCCCCTCCCCCGCAGACTTCACCCCTTTCAGTCCCCAACCGGATGGGGCTCCCGTTTCCCATCCTCTGCCGGGTGCCTGGGGCTCCTGGTCACTCACTCGGCAGCTGGCAGCCCCGGTGGCTTCCGTGCATTTGTTCACCCCCAGGTATTTATGAGGCGCCAACTACGTTCGGCGTCCGGTGGTGCTGGGGCGGTGGGGATCCAAGAAGGGGTCAAAGCAGCATTACCCTCGAGCGGGGTAAACCAGGAATTGCAGATCGTGGTTAATGCAATGAATCTACACTGAGGGTGGGTAGGGGTGAGAGCCGGGCTGGGGGGAAGGCAGGGCCTGGCTCAGTCCAGTCTCATCTCCAAACGCTCGTTCTGTACCAGGCCTGTCCACAGACCCTGGATGTGGGCAGACCCTTGAGCGCTCATAATGTAACGACCTGTTTTTGCACAGTGTTAGGTCGGTGGAGGCGACTTGGTGGCGACTTAGTGGCAACTTAGAACAAAGCAGCCCACGCTGGAAAAGAACATCAATCAGATGCCGGTGGAAACACCTGTCAATCAGCCAGATCTCCTGACTAATGCCTGTCAATCAACAGGACCCCCCTAGCCAATCCTGGAGTTCAGCCAACTCCCCTGACCAACTTCAAGGGGGCAAGGGACCCTAGAAACACCTTTTCGTGTCCCAAGCCCTTCCCTTCCTGCTGTAAGCCCCATAAAAGTCCAGTCTGGTCGAGCTTCCACACGGTTTCTCCTCAGACCCTTCCCCTGTCCCCTCTGTGGGTCTGATTGAGTTCCACCCAGGAATGATATCTCAATAAAGCCTGTTCAGGGGCCCTTTTAAATATGCCTCCTTTGGCCGCTGCCTGCCCTGCCTGATCTGACACACAGTATCTCATTACTTCTAGTGATCCCAAGAAGGTGGTACCCTGAGTTTTCAGATGAAGAAACTGAGCACAGAGTGGTAGGTAGTAATGTGCCCAAGGCTGCACAACCAGGGCTAGAAGTGAGAAGGACTCAGCCTAACCCTAACCCTAACCCTAACCCTAACCCTAACCCTAACCCTTGCTCTGCAGTTCACAAAACAAAAACAAATTAAAGAAAACTTTCATGGGGGAGGAGTAATTTGTCCCAGTGGAAAAGACATTGAAGGAAGGAATATGAAGTGACAGAGGGACTTCAGGGACTTTAGTTGTAGATGGAGGCTCCAGGGAGGGTGGTCCAAACAGCTTCAGCCAACCAGAGTCAGATTCCAGGATGGTTCTCAGGCCAGTTTCACCCGGTAGCCAGCCCCCTTAGTACTTGGTGAAGGTCAGTTCCACAGGCTAATAGTTACTCATTTTCTTTAGTTTACAAGGCAAACGAAAGTAGCCTTAAATAGCCCTTTAAAGTGATTCCAGGCCCACAGAATGTGAGCTGCTGGCCTCTCTGATGCCTCTAGAGGCAAAGCTTCCCTCCCAGGGACAAAGCTGAGCTACAAGGTAGATGGTGGAGACTTAAACACTTAAACAGACCAGTGACCCCCCTGAAAGTGGGGGCAGTGGGTGGGCATGGTCCATCCCAGGTTTTTTTTTTTTTTGGTACTAGGGATTGAACACAGAGGGGTTTAACTCTTTTTTGAGACAGTGTCTCACTAAGTTGCTTAGGTCCTCACTAAGTTGCTAAGGTTCAATTTGAACTCATGATCCTCCTTGCTCAGCCTTCCAAGCTGCTGGGATTACAGGCCTGCATCACTAAGCCTGTCATCCAAAATGACTTTAAGAAAGGCAAGGTAGGGGCTGGGGTTATGGCTCAGTGGTGGAGTGCTTGCCTAGTGTGTGTGAAGCACTGGTTTGATCCTCATCACCACATAAAAATAAATTTAGGAGCTATGGTTGTGGCTCAGTAGTAGAGAGCTTGCTTAGCATGTGTGAGGCACTGGGTTTAATTCTCAGCACCACATATAAATAAATGAACAAAATAAAGGTCTGTCAGTGTCTAAAAAACTTTAAAAACTAATTAATTAATTAAAGGTATGGTGTCCATCTACAACTAAAAAATAAGGTAAAGCAGTATTTCTTCCAGAATCTTCTACTCCCATAGAGATATTTCTGCTTATGATGTCTGGACATGTAACTTCTCCTGCCAATAGTATGTGGCAGATGTGACGTCAACTAACTTCTGAGCCTGGGCCATGAGAAGGATTCAGCTCTCCTGGAAGCCTCCTGTTAGAACCAGGCCACATGGCAGGCGACCTGCTTGGTTCTGGCTGTCTGTACCACTGAGGTCCCAGCCAATAGCAACTTCAATTGCTTTTAAGTGAGTCCCAACCCTGCCTTTGAGCTGCCCTCCAGTGGGGCTGAGTGAGTTGTCCCCTAAGTCATTGTCAGGTTGCACATTAATGAGCAAAACAAATGAAGTCACTGTATTAACTACAGCATTTTATGCAGTTGCCTGTATGATGTCAAATTGTTATTTGATAGTGAATCCCACTTCAGGGACAAATAGATGATACAGAGGGGTTCTTGTCAAAGTCTTCCCAGCTGGTAATTGACAGGTGATTTGGCGTCAGAGGCCAGTGTTTATTTTCTGTTTAACTTTTCCTTAAGGACATTCTCAAATACACAGGTGGGGAGAATGGCACAATGAGAACTCACCAACCTGATCTGACAACTTCTAGCTCATAACTCGTCTTCTCTGTCCTCAGTCACCTCCCTCTGCTGCTGGGTTGTTTTGAAGAAAATTCTATACATTATATCATTTTCTAACTACTTCAATATTTACCTCTAAGATATAGATTCATATTATGCCAACATCCAGGCCTGCAGTCAGTTGATGCACTAGGTAGCCTGAGCTAGTTTACTTGGATCACCAAGTGGTTGTATTAGGAAGGCCCAAATGTTAGACAAAAAAGTCAGTTGGTTTGTATGTATTAACATTTGCCCTTGGACTTTTCAGGAAGCTAAAATGCCATTTGTTAGGGTTTCTAAGCTGCACAGCTTGATACTGAATCAAAGTTTTGAAGCCATATATGTGAAGAAAAGACCCTTCTAAAAATCAGAATTCAGAATTCAATATGAAAAACCCAGATGACAGTGGGCCTTATTAGGAGTGAAGGAGTGTGCACCCAGGGCTCCCTGAACTATTCATCTTTGCCCATCCACAATGAAAATCAATATGTCTCAACTTTCCTGATGTAACCATCCTATTCTTACCCCTTTTGTTGAAAGGAGTTATGATAATCCACTTATTTAATTCAAGGCTCCATGCCAGACTTCTAAAGCAAAAAGCCAAGCATGAAGTACCTAGCGTGTTGGGTCTGTTAAGTAAGTGTTAAACAACAGTAATTACCCCACTGGGGTATCCAGCTGTAGTCTTCCCTGCCAAACCTCAGTTGGGAGACTCCTACCCCCACCCCAGCCTTGGAAAGGAGGTTCCTGTCAGGCATATAGACAGGCACAGTGGTGCTGGTTCCTTGTTGCCTAGGCTCAGTCACTGGGCCAGACCTTATTAAGACTTCAGGGCTTGCTATGAATATAGCATCATGGCTAAGAATCTGAGTTTAGTAAGTCAATGGTCTTTCAAATGACTGTTCCTTTCCAAGAACATTCATGGTTTGGGTGGGCAGACAGAAGCAGCTCATTGCTGTGACTCTGGTTGCCTACTAATGAGCATCACTCTCCTGGCAGATTGGGAATACCTGAGCCCACCTGTGCCTTCCTTCATTACTCATACACTGCCCTCAATACAACTTTCTAGGGGGATTAGATTCTGGAATCTTCACTTCAAAAACAGATGTGAAGGAAGATGTGCTGCAAGATCTGACATCCTCCCTGCACCCAGTCCTGGGGATTGAATCCAGGGTGCTTTACCACTGAGCTGGATTCCAGCTCTTTTTATTTTGTTTTTGAGACTGCTTTCACTTAGCTGCTGAGGCTGTCCTCAAACTTGGGATCCTCCTGCCAAAGTCGCTGGGATGACAGACATGTGCCACTATACCAGGCTGCAAGATCACTTTTTAAAGAAGATAATAGGGTCTGGGGCTGTAGCTCAGTGGCAGAGCACTCGCCTGGCATGCATGAGGCACTGGGTTCAATCTTCAGCACCACATAAAAATAAATAAAGATATACTATGTGTTCAACTACAACTAAATAAATATTAAAAAAAAAAAAGAAGATGATAAAGTCGAGTGCTTAGGCAAAAGCAAAACAACCACTGGCGAATGAAGACAGACGCCTGCTTATGACAAAGTCAGCCTTCTGGGTGACACAGGTCATCATGCGGGTGTAATAGATGGTTTCAGGGACTGGAAATTTGCTTTGGAAATTATAAAAATGCTTAGCAGTATTCAGAGCAAGCGGTTAGAAAAGGAAACCGACTGCCCCCTTTTCTGCAGTGCTTGTTTGGGAGAGAACAGTGACAGGACCACCGAGGCTGCCTCTTTAGGCAGAGGTGGTTTAAAAATGATAATTAGAGAGAGAGGGGTCACTTGTTTTCAAAACTTTGGAGCTCAACTTGAACTTAATTTTCTTTGGTGTTTCTGCTCCCCACTGAAGGTTTCTGGAAACCTGCCGCGCATATTCAAGCCTCTCTAGGGCAGCAGGTGGGAGGGCTCTTCCTGCCGGGCGAGGTGAGTCCCTGGAGCAGACTTTCCAGTTTGGGTACTGTCTCCGAGCCTTGGGAGGACGACTGATCCTTCCTTCAGCCATTCGCCCATTCCCCAGCTCGTCTTCATGGAGCACTTGCCATGTAGGCGCTGTAGTACGGAACGAAAGACACAGTTCTCCCTCCTCATGGAGCTCGAGTTCTAGTGGCGGGGACCAGCGATCAACGACAGGCGCTAGTTCAGGGGCGTCAGGTAGTCAGGTGTCTCGGGGACGCCCAGCAACCAGCCAACTTCCGCCACTCCGGCAACCTGGAGCCTTCCCCAGCGCGTTGCTAGGGACGCACTCCCGCCGGGCTGCCGGCATAGTCTCGCGAGAGTCTCCGAGATTTCGTGCGGGATCTCGCACGGTTGCCGGGAGACGGCGCAGCCTCCGCGGGGCGGGAGCGCTTGGCGGCGGGTCGCGGTGGCTCTGGTCAGCCGGCGCCATGGTGAGGCTGGCGGGGTCCTGGGCCTGGGTTGGGCGGGCGGGCGGGCCGGCCTGCGCTCAGAGACCCCGGGACGGGCTGTTCCTGGGATCGAGGACTGGATGCCCTCGTGGGGTTCCGGGGAAAGCCCGGGGTGCGGGGGTCTGCGCCCTCGGAGCTGAGAGGCTTGGGTTCTTCGGGATGCCGTGCTCCCTGGTGGGCTTAGAACTGCCGAGACCTCGGGCGCGGTGCGCGGTGCGTCCAGAAGACCGAACCTGGGTGTCTCCGATCCTCGGATCCCGTGGTTTCACTTCCTAGGAGTTCTGGGGCACGCAGAGGCCCCATGCAGGAGAGTCGGGGACAGGGGTACCTTAGGACCGTCCCCCACCTGGAGGCTCCTCTCCTCCAGCACGCCCTGATAGAAGGCCGGTGCCCAGGAGTGCCAGGGCATCAGCTCGGGGTTCAGAATCTGTTCCCTTGGAGAGCCTGGTCGGAGCCAGGCCCCTAGTAGGAGAAGCCATGCGGGACCTCGCTGCTTCATCAGGGCTCTCTCCCTTCTCATCTCATGGAACCAGACCCGCCCCTTTGTAACTTAGGAGTCGTCAGTAACCGAGTTTTTGGCAGCAGCGTGGGTATCAGCTGCTTGGGAGGATGCCTCACCGTGGGAGAGCTCCAGGAGCCCCACTAAGCCCCTTCAGCTGACTGTGAACATCCCAAATGCTAACTGGTGCTGAATCTGCCTCCGAGGCTTATGACCTTCCAGGGCGGTGCCATTCCTAGAGTAGAGAGGAGTACCTTAGGAGTTGAGGTTTCTGCGTGCATCATTTGAAAACCAACTGGGAAGGGGGACCAAAGTACTTATCATGAGGTTGTGGGAATATTGGTGATTTTTTTTTTAAGAGACAAGGTCTTGCTATGTTAAGTGTTCTGCCTGCCTTGCCTCCCAAGTTGCTGGGACAACAGGCACCTGCACCACTTCATCTGGCTCTTTTTTCCAATTGTTTTTCTAAGATTTTTATGTAAAACTGATTATCATAACGTGAAAGCACAAACAGGAGAGCGTTGGCAGAGGATAGGGCTTGGAAAATTGTATCTGTTTGAATGGCATGAAATGAATGGGGGTAGAAGCTACCTCTCTCAGCCTTGTAAAAGCTATTAAAATGAAACATGACCCCATGACCAGTCCTTCTGCTGACCCCATTTACAGATCATCCATAGTGGAAACCTTTTGATCAATAGTTCTTGGTCAGTGTTCCTTGAAGGAGTTTTATATTTTGAAGAAAAAAATCCTTATATTTTCAGGATTAGTTATTTGTATGGAGTCATTTCTCCCTACATTTATTTAACAGTTTCTTTAAGGGGTGGTTACCAAGCATTTAGGCAACATGGTAACCTTTGGCAGAGTGGTATTGTGGGCTTCCTTTCTGACTCTTAAGTAAATTTTCCATTCTCATCAGTGAAATCTGCCATATACCATGGAGTGAATGGATTTGGAACAGATTCCTCCATTCCTTTTATAAAGAGAAAATGAATTTTTCTGGAAAGGGAGATGTCTCCTTTGTGCTTATCCAAATGTGTTGACAGGGTTGTGTGTGGTTAATGGTGGGAAAACCCAGTGCAGAGTGATGTGTTCCAGTTGAGTGCTCTTGTGGCGGGGGAGAGGGGGGTTAGAGTGAGCCTTAGGGGTAGAAGTTCCAAACAGATATTCACTTCCTCCTAAAATGCCCCATGGGAGCAAATCAGAGCCAGCCAAAAAGGGAAAGCCATTAGAGTGTCCTTTACTTACCCATTGTCTCTTCAACCAAAGGCGCCCAAGAAGAAAGGGAGGAAAGGCAAAGCCAAAGGCACTCCGATTGTCGATGGGCTGGCTCCGGAGGACATGACCAAGGAGCAGGTGAGCAGGCCTGGGCTGTCCAGTCCTGGCTGGGGTGGATACCGCTCCAGGTACCTTGGTGTGCATTTCATCACTACCCGATTCAGTCATCTCCCCTCAATCTGGATCTTCCATTTCTGTCCATGATTCCCATCAACTCTGCAGTTGCAGGTGCATTATATATTTTAAAACAGTGAAATATAGCCACATTAAGGAACTTTCTAATAGAGTGGTTGGAATTTGGAAGAAAATATTTTTCTGAAATAATAACTTTTAACTCTGTTATCTATCAATCTTGCCCTCTTATGCATCTGATGTTCATAGGGCTATTAGTATACACATGTATGCTATTCTCCTTTATTTACCATTAAGCATCATAGCAGAAAGAAAGTTTTTGAAAGGAACATGATTTACCTAAAATCACATTTTCTCAATCTTATTAATTATTCGTCTTTTTTTTTTTTTTTTAGAGAGAGAGAGAGAATTTTTTAATATTTATTTTTTAGTTTTCGGCGGACACAACATCTTTATTTTATTTGTATGTGGTGCTGAGGATCGAACCCAGCGCCCCGCACATGCCAGGCGAGCACACTACCGCTTGAGCCACATCCCCAGCCCCTTATTCGTCGTTTTTGACAAACATTCTAATAAGGAGTAACAGTGTCAGGGCTTACTCTTTGATATTGTCTGTGCTTAGTTTGGAGAGGGAGTGAAGTCTTTATAGTTTCTTTGTAGTAATTATTATTTTTTCTTTTATTGGTACATTATAGTTGTATATAAGAGTTGAGTTCATTTTGAGTTAATCATACATGTAGTAATCATTTTAAGTTACTTGTTTATTTTGATGTAAAGGGCTAGTGAACTTAATTATGTGATGACAATTTCATTAAAAAGGCTCCTGACAGGGGCTGGGATGTGGCTCAAGCGGTAGCGCGCTCGCCTGGCATGCGTGCGGCCCGGGTTCGATCCTCAGCACCACATACAAACAAAGATGTTGTGTCCGCCAAATACTAAAAAATAAATATTAAAAAATTCTCTCTCTCTCTACCTCTATCTCTCTCACTCTCTCTTTAAAAAAAAAAAAAAAAAAAAAGGCTCCTGACAACTATAGCATGAGGCAAGCATGGTGGACCTGTGGCCTCTTGTGTTGATGGATCATGGCCCTGTGAGCATATGACAGGGGACCTGTGTGATAGTATTAATAAACCTTACTTTCTTTTTTTTTTTTAATATTTATTTTTTAGTTTTTTCGGTGGACACAACATCTTTGTTTGTGTATGGTGCTGAGGATCGAACCTGGGCTGCGCGCTACCGCTTGAGCCACATCCCCAGCTCCTTACTTTCTTATGATAGTTTTAAGATTGAAAGATAAAGAGTCATGTGAGCTGAAGTGGTGATATGTGCTGTATTTTAAGTGCAAGGAAACCATTGGCAGTTTAAGCAGAGGTGTGGTGGGATCAAGTTGTGTTTTGGAAGGATCAGTGGGGTGATGGGTGGAGAGTGGATTGAATGTTGTATTGCCCCAATGTATAAGTTGTTTCTTGTAGAAGTGGAACTTTGATGTAGCACTGGTCCTAACTGGATGGTCTGCAGAGAGCGGGCTGGCCATGTATACTGAACACTTGAGCACAGAAGCCTGCAGGGTCAAGCAGGAGGGTAGAGACTGGGGTGATCTGGAGAATTGTGCCCTCCCCTGGCAGAGAACATCCGCAGTCACTTCACTGGGTGGTTTCCTTGAGGCATTAGACTTCATTGCTCTTTGTTTTCTGATTTTTCAAGAGAAGCTTGAAATTGGATATTTACAAGAAATCTAGATATTGAGTGATGGCAAAATCTAGCACCGTGTGAGCCCAACAGAGCAGATTGGTTTCGGCTGTTTGAGCGACACTGATGGTCTGTGATGGAAGACATTTGTTTTTTTGCTGAGGCAGTAGTCAGAATCTGTGATGCCATACTTCCTCATGGGGTCCCAAACTCCTGCCCAGTGTCTTCACCTCAGAGGCCCCTGGTTGGCTCTCTTGAAGTAAGAAATGTGCTTTCCCTGTGTTTTGGGAGAGAAAAAAATGTACAATAAGTAGCCTGGGGTTGTGCTCAAAGATAACCAGTTCTCAAGAGAAATGAGGTCCCAAGAAAGCTGTAAGCCTGACCTGCTTTTCTCCTTAACCTATTTGCTGATTTGTGATTGGCTCTGGGCCAAAACCTGTTGAGTGTTAGAAATCTACTGGTTTTGTGTATTTCTGCTTAACACTGTATCTTTAAAGGTGAAGTTTTTTTATTTTCTAGACATGTTTACATGCTGCTATATTATTTTCATATGTATTTTTTGCCACATGAGATTTCTTCTACTTGATTTACTCTAATTTTCCAATTATTTTTCTGTGTAAAATTGTCCTATCTCATTTTCTTTTTAATATTTTTGTAGTTCTAATAATGGCAAGGCTAATATCTTTGAGCAAAAAGCTTTTATGTTTCTTTTCAGAAATTTCTTTAGTATAAATTCCCAGGAACTGCTGTAAAGATAGAATTATTCTGTGAAGACTGACCAAATTTGAGAAACTTTTGCCATATCCGGATGTACCCTGTCCTGATAGCCCCTAACATCATGGTTTACCTTTTACTGTTAGTGCTTATTATTTTGGTCAGCGGCCCCTCCCTCTTTCTTCCTTGCCCTTCTTCATCCACCTGCCTCTGCTGTGGGTGTGTGCCTGGTCAGGTGGAAGAGCATGTCAACCGTATCCGTGAGGAGCTGGACCGCGAGCGGGAAGAGCGCAACTACTTCCAGCTGGAGCGCGATAAGATCCACACATTCTGGGAGATCACACGGAGGCAACTGGAGGAGAAGAAGGCTGAGCTTCGAAACAAAGACCGGGAGATGGAGGAAGCTGAGGAGAGGCACCAGGTGGAGATCAAGGTGAGTGAGGCTGGCCTGCCTGTGCCCATGGGACTCACCTGCAGCAAAAGAGCAGCTGAGCCAGGTGGTGGGGTGGGGACCTTTTCCCTTGGCTTTGGGATCTAACTTTTTTAGACTGGAAACCTGAAGGTGTTTTTTCCTAAAAGAGGTTCACCTGAAGGGAAAGAAGCTTCATCCTCCAGTGGCAGGAGAGGCTCTGCAGAGCCTGTGTTTGAATCCCAGCCTCCCTAATGTGGAAGGAGCACAGGCTCTGGGGAAGGTCGACCTCCTTGCAGTTGGTGTTCCCTCTCAGCCCCCTGTGAGCTGGGCAGGATCTCACCCACTGGCTGTGGTGGTGTCCTGTTCTGTGCCTCAGAGCACGAGTGAGCAGATGGCATCCCCATCCCTTAGGTGTACAAGCAGAAGGTGAAGCACCTGCTGTATGAGCACCAGAACACCCTGACAGAGACGAAAGCTGAGGGCACTGTGGTCATGAAGCTGGCTCAGAAGGAGCACCACTCGCAAGAGGACGCTCTGCGCAAGGACATGAGGACACTGAAGGTGGAGTTGAAGGAGCAGGAACTGGCCAATGAGGTGGTGGTGAAGAACCTGAGGCTGGTAGGTATGAGGAGTGAGCACCAGAGTGACAGACTATGGGATTAATGAGCCTAGGGCTTCCTGAACCCCTCATCTTTCAACAACTGGGAGTTTAGGTTTTTGTATAAAAACTCCCACATCTTTTCAGTTGTGGAAATACTTAAAAAAAAAAAAGAATGCAGCCCAACAAACCATATTTCAGGGCTGAGTGCAGATTGCTGTCTTAAGCCCAGTCAACAGGTTGTCTTCTCCAAAGGAAAATCCAGCTCAGGATCTAATCCTAATACTGCTAATCTCTGACACACAGGGAACAGTGTTGGATGCTTTAGAGAACCAACCCTTATATGCCTGTGATCCAGTGACTGGGGAGACTGAGGTAGGAGGATCTCAAGTTCAAGCCCAATCTGGGCAACTTAGTGAGACCCTCAAAATAAAAGTAAATAAGTAAATAAAAAGGACTGGAGATGTACATTAGTGTTAGAGCATTCCTGGTTGCAATCTCCAGTCTGCAAAAAAAAAAAGAAAAAGAAAAAGAAAAAGAAAAATCAACATGTAAGATATCCTGGGCAGCAGTTCTTCAGTAACTGCTGGCCTTTGACTCTTGGGGTTTCCAGGTAGAGACTGAAATTCATTTGCTGAGTGTCCATTAGGTGTCAGGCCCTGATCATGATCTCTGTCGGAATGCCTTCCCAAGTGGGGCTAAATGTTCAGGAAAGAGAGAGTCAACACATAGGAGAGAAGACAAAACAGATGTGCCAAGTGCATACAGCAAAGCTGTTAGGGGTGAGCATTATAGGAAGAGCAAAGTGGGGTGAGTGCAGGGAGCTAGAGTTGCAGGGAGGCTGCAGTTTTTATAAGAGTTCTAGCATTGCCTCATTGAGAAGGTAACATTTGGGTAAAGGCTGGAAGGAGTTAGATGTCTGGGCTGGGGAATTCCATCCTAGAGAAGGGATGGGCCAGTGGAAGACCCAGAGACTAGAGGAGCACGGAGCAGAAAGGCTGGAGGGATGACCAGAGCTTGTTAGCCTGGAAAGCCCTGGGAGGATGGGGCTTTGGTACAGGTCAGTAGGGAGCCCTCTGAGAACTGGGGAGAGGAAGGGTGTGTCTGACTTTAGTTTTCAGAGGTGCTTCTGTATGCTGGGTAGAGAGGCCTTCTAACACATCTGCCTCATGCTGGGAGCAGCCCAGCTTCAACTGTAGGGTGTACCTCAGTGACACTGCAGACTGCAGCAAAGCACGGGGGTGCTGAGGGCCTCCAGAATTGCATGGTCTTTCCTGAGAACCACAGAGTGGCTGGTTTCAGATCAAGTCAGTGGTATGAGGCTGTGTGCTTAACCTGAAGTGTGGGTATGTGTTACGTGTTCAGAATGCTCCTTCATGTAAAAATACTGCCTTAAAAATAATTTAAGTTTGTAATTAAAAATTGTACTATATAATAAATTGTTTTTAAAGAATATTTATTTATGGGCTGGGGATGTGGCTCAAGCGGTAGTGCGCTCGCCTGGCATGCGTGTGGCCCGGGTTCGATCCTCAGCACCATATACCAACAAAGATGTTGTGTCCGCCGAAAACTAAAAAAAAAGTAAATATTAAAAATTCTCTCTCTCTCTCTCTCTTTAAAAAAAAAAAAAAAAAGATGCTTTAGAATATTTATTTATTTCAATACTAGTAATTGAATCCAGGGATGCTGTACCATTGAACTACATCCCAGACCTTTTTAAAGATTTTTTTCTTTCAAGAAAGGGTCTCACTAAGTTGCTCAGGATAGCCTTGAACTTGTGATTGTCCTACCTCAACCTCCTGAGTCACTGGGATTATAGGTGTGTGCCTCTGTGCCTGGCATAATAATTGTTTATGAAAATAATTTTTGAATGTTGCTCTGAGCAACAGTGAGGTGGGTTTGCAGGAGCTATTTGAGGCTCCTGGAAAGAGCTGTAGCTCTCTGTAGAAGTGGCTGTTCTCCAGCCTATGGGAAGGCACCATGAGGAAACCAAGCTGTCCAGTACTCAGATCTGTTATATCTTCCAGGCTCAGAGGTGATCTTGCTCAGGGAGGAGACTTATGAAATGTGGAGATGACCAAAACATGTTATTCTGGGCAGGTTCCATGAACTTAGAGGGGAGGGGAGCCCAGCAGCCAGTAGCATGAGCAGCATGGGGTTTACTGAGCTCAACTTTTCTTAGGGGGGAGGAACAGGGTTGGCCTGAAGGGTACGCACCCCTGTCTGCTTCACTGTCTAGTAACTTGTTATTCTTCACCTGGCAGAAACATGCCGAGGAGATCACCAAGATGCGGAATGAGTTTGAGAGGCAAGTTCGAGGTCAGTTCCTAAGATGCACATTGGTAAGATGGTGTCAGAGACCTACCTTCATCAGAAAGTAATTTGCCTCCAGAGCTTGTTAATTCAGAGCATGATAAGCAGATTAAAATAGCCCCCCCACACAGGGAGAGAATGGACCCACTCAGAGTCCCAGAACAACTGTTTCTGTGTGAGTTTGGGAGGCTGTGAATGCCTCACACTTCCCCACTGCTGTCTAAAATCAGTAGTTAACAGCAGGCGCGAGTTGTTCAGTCTGTGGGCAGCATTTTCAAATAGTCTTCTGGCCGAGAAGCCTCAGATTTCAGAAGTCCATGAAGTTGCCTGAGTAAGCCCTGCAGTCTGTAGCTAGGTGTTGAATGCCCATTGGGGTCAGCTGACAGTGTTGGGAGCCCCAGTGCAGGCACTGATAGGCCTGTCACCGGAAGAGGAGGGCCAACAGTGGCCCTTGCGCTGAGTGTGTCCCCTTGAGCCTCAGCAGGAAAAGCTCACCTAAGCCTTTCCTGTCCTTTGGCAGAGCTTGTTTGCACACCTTTGTTGTGACCATCATGGCAGTTCTGGGCCCTGTTTTCAGGTTTCATCTATTCTTGTACGACATGGCACTTGTTTCTCCTTTGTTACGCTGCTGTATGTGCTGCTTCCTTTCAGAAATCGAGGCCAAGTATGATAAAAAGATGAAGGTGCTAAGGGATGAGCTTGACCTGCGCAGAAAGACTGAGATCCACGAGGTGGAGGAGAGGAAGAACGGCCAGATCCACACGCTGATGCGGCGTCATGAGGAGGCCTTCGCTGACGTCAAGAACTACTACAACGACATCACGCTCAACAACCTGGCCCTCATCAGCGCCCTCAAGGTGCTCACCTGGGTTGGGCCCGTCGGCACCCTTTGCCGGTCCTTGCTATGGGCTGCAGGCTGCAGCTCTCACAGTCCCCTGGACCCAACACCCCTTTCTGTAAATGCACTGGACAGAGCCCCTCTGCTACCCTCAATTGAAATATGTGAGTAATGTGACTTATCTCCACCCATAATTGAGAATAAGCAGGCCAGGTGTGGTGGCGCCTGCCTATGATCCTAGCTACTTGCAAGACTGAGGCAGGAAGATCACAAGTTTGAGGCCAGCCTGGACAATTTAGCAAGATCCTGTATCAAAATAAAAAATAAAAAGAGCTGGGGATGTAGCGCAGTGGTGGAGCACCCCTGGGTTCGATCGCCAGCACCACAAATAAACAAACAAAATTCCAGTTTCCCTAACTGCTGTGAAGCAGTAACAGGCTATCCTGACACATCAACACCCAGGCACCATGCCATGGCTGCAGTGTGGCCAGAGTGGGCCATTGTCATCGTCCCTCAGATGCTGGCAGTGGCAGGGTTTCCATGGTGAAGAGCAGCCCCGGTGGAGTCCTGAACAAAGTGCAGGCTCTCATTTTGCATGGAAGCTGCATTCCTAGAAAATTCAGAATAAGTTTAGACTTTGCAAAATACAGTTTGTCCACAAAGCAAGCCTAAGTCCCCAGCGTGTGTGAGGCTGGAAGGACATGTGTGGTCAGGAGAGCACCCAGTCTATGCTCCACAGGCTGAGCCCCTCCTGCACCTGAGCCCATAGGAGCAGATGGAGGACATGCGGAAGAAGGAAGAACACCTGGAGAGGGAAATGGCAGAGGTGTCTATGCAGAACAGGCGTCTGGCAGACCCTCTGCAAAAGGCACGGGAGGAGATGAACGAGATGCAGAGGAAGCTTGGGAAGTATGAGAGGGACAAGCAGATCCTGGTGGTGAGTTCCCTGCTGAGTTCCTCCCTCCTTGGCACATGCATTCCTGGCCTCAGGAAAGTGGGCACATCTGGGGGCATCTCCTGAGGGTGGGAAGGGAAAGGGAGGCTGGACTCTTTACTTCCATCGAGGGTGCTAAGGGAGATGAGGCCCTAGTCTTGCACTGTCCTACCAGCCAGCCTAGGTGGGGCCCGGCTGTTGGAAGTTTTCCACCAATTGTTCCTGGAGATGATCTCTGGCCTTGCTGTCTTCCAGAAGCTTGTGGTACATGGATACTTGTGAATCTGAATGCTGTCTGTCCCCACTCCCTGTACTCTCTCTAGAGCACAACAGCACGTTTGAAGGTCACTGAGAAAGAGCTGAGAGACCTGCAGTGGGAGCACGAGGTGCTGGAGCAGCGGTTCATCAAGGTTGGTGAGGCTTGGGGCCCTGGCTGTCTCTGGGACTGGGAGCTGCAGATTCTCTCGCCTGCTTCTCAGTCCACTCAGCTTTTATGAGTCAAAAGACTGTGGTGGTGTTGGTGTGTGTCACTTGTCTGCAACTCTGCAGGCGGCTGAAACAGGTTCAGGTTACCCTGGGCAGCTTAGTGAGACTGTGTAAGAATAAAAATAAGAAGGGCTGGGGGTGTACCTCAATCATCTCCAGCACCACAGAATACAAAAAGAAAAACAAAAAGCCATCCTGGCATTGTACAAGGCCTGGGGCCTCAAGGGGAGTGCCTGCCGGTCCCTTCAGAAGCTGACTTTGCAGTACATAGAGGAGGACTGGCCCAGGCAGCAGCTGTTTCCCACTGCATGAGTGTGTTTCTGAGCATTAGCCTGTTACACGCTCGTTGTTCAGAAATACTGCTCAGTGCTGTCCCCATAAGAGCTGATGGTTTTGTGAGCCACCTTCCAGGCTTCTTCCTGCATCCGTTAGCATAGATGTGGCACCATGGTTTACAAAGTGGGAGCATGTCAACAGCAACCTGCATTTTAATCTCACGGTTTGTCCAGGCTGCACACACACAGCAGCCTCGTTCTTTGTGACAGCTGCATCTGCTAGTTTATAGTTCCCCTTGAGGAGCTGTTCTTTGTTTTCAGTCCTTTGTTCTTACTACATTGTTGTTGCAATTACCCTTTCCATTTCATTCTGCGCTGTGTGATCAGTCCTTGCAGTGGAGTGCTGGGTCAGAGGGGTCTGTGCTAGAACGCTGATGAGTCACTAAGAGGGCTGCTCTGGGTGATGCTCCTGACAGCACTGCCTGAGGGCCACTTCCTGCTCCTTCCTGCCTACTCTAGAGCTGATGAACTTCCTCCTTTGCTGATAGGATTGGGCAGACACTTCTCATGGATAGTGCAGGTCTGATGTCTCTTGCAATGTTACTTCCTGCCTCTGTGGTTTGAAGGTCTGGCCAAGGATCACCCTGCATCACAGGACCCTTATGCTGTGTCTATGGCTCACGTGGCTGAGCATTTCATCATGAGCCATAGTCACTAGAGAGTTCACAGATGCAGACCAATAATGAATTGGCCCCATCTCCCCATAGCAGGCCTCTCAGGAGCCTTGCATCTGTGGCAGGTCTGTTCACCTTCAGAGGTGCTGAGGGTTTCACAGGGTGTAGATCACTGGGCTCTGCCACTGGCAGCCAATGACCTGCACAGACAGTCCCTTGACCCCTAGGCTTATCTGAGTCCTGCTATTCCCTTCTTCCTTTCTGTGAATTTGGTGGCCAGCATTAATGGGAGGTACAGAGCAGAAACATGTCTGGGTTGCATCCTGTTCTCTGCCGCATCTTGCACATGAATATGGCTTATGATGTGTGCCAGTCAGTGTCTCAGAGAACCAGGAATTCAGATTTGTTGGCAAAATCTAGAGACTAATGATCCACAGGTTTGCTGACAGGGAATTGAATATAGGCAGATCCGTGGGACTCGGCACAGTCGTTGGGGAGGATACAGTACTCTCTGCTTGGAAGGCTGTAGGGTATGCTGCTATGTGGAAAGTTGCAATGATGTAGCATGATCCTCCTTCTTTACTAACAGTGATGAGAACATTCTGGAAGGAGTCATACCAAATGATCACAGTAGTGGCCGCTGGGAATTGGGGTTAAACAAGTGTTTACCGGGGCTGGGGTTGTGGCTTAGCAGTAGAACGCTCACCTAGCATGTGCGAGGCCCTGGGTTCGATCCTCAGCACCACATAATAATAAATAAATAAAATGAAGGTCCATTAACAACTAAAAAATACCAAAAAAAAAAAAAAAAAAAAAAGTGCTGGCTCAGTGGTTAAGTAACCTTAGGTTCAATTCCTGGTACCAAAAAAAAAAAAAAAGAAAAGAAAAGAAAAAGTAGGGGAGAAGAGACATTTTTACTTATTGGTTGACAGACTGCTGCTGCAAGGCTTGCTTTAGACCTGCCTTGTAGGACATATTGATGGCAAGGAATCAATATGTCAATCTGTAGGAAACTCCAAGGGCTCTCCTGCAAAGATTGCCTGCTTGCAGATGGACAGGCTGTCACATGGGGGCAATCAGGGGTACATCTCCTCTGAGCCCACAGCCCTAACTCAGGCAAAGCTGGGCCTGACCCACCTATGGAGCAGATTTCAGGGTGGGGCTATTCCTGCTCTTAGCACACCCCACTACTGCTGCTGCTTCTGCCTCCTCCTCCTTCCTCTCCTCTCTTCCCCCTCCTTCCCCCTTTTTTTTTTTTGCAGTCCTAGGGATTGAACGCAGGGTGCTCTACCACTGAGGCACATCCCTAACACTTTTTATTTTTATATTTTGAGACAGAGTCCTGTTAAGCTGCTGAGGCTGGCCTCAAATTTGTGAACCTCCTGCCTCAGCCTCTGGTTACAGGTGTGCACCACTGTGCCCAGCCCCATTGCTTCTTGAGGGGGTTCATGCTGCTATTTCTCTCTTGCATTCCTCTGTGTAGATAGTTGCATACCTTTAACTCTGCACAGAAGATGGGGTTTTAGGCAGTGGATGGCACATAGACCATGTATTCTAGGTGTGGTCACCAGTGTAAGTGACCTTTTGTAGTAACAGTGTGCTCCACAAAGGGGCAGGGTAGGAGGTGGCTTCTCCCCAGTGAGATGTCCCAGTGGGGGACTTTGTTGCTCACCCCAGTCTCCTTCTTGCAGGTACAGCAAGAGCGGGATGAGCTCTACCAGAAGTTCACTGCAGCCATCCAGGAGGTGCAGCAGAAGATAGGCTTCAAGAACCTGGTGCTGGAACGCAAGCTGCAGACACTGAATACTGCCATGGAGAAGAGGGAGGTGCAATTCAATGAGGTGCTGGCGGCCTCCAACCTGGACCCTGCAGCATTGACACTCGTGTCCCGCAAACTTGAGGTAGGCCTCCGGGGGCAGGGCTGGTGGCTGCCCCAACTCTTACCTACAGTGGGCAGCCTAGTCTCCTGTGGTGGGACCCTTTGGTCCTGCGCTGTGCCTCCTGAACCAGGGGGCGACCTCAATTACCCACGGGGGGCGGGTTTCCTGCAGGCGTCTGTGCCTCAGGCCTGCATGGGCCTGCAGTTTGCTTTGAGGGGTTTTGCTTGTGTTGCTATTGGGTCTTGCTTGACCCTCCTTAACCTCATAGCACCTCATAACTTCTGAGCCTTGCCATTCTAGTTCTCCTGTGGCTCATCATGATGCACCAAGTAGAACTGAGGATATTCTAGAAACAGAAAAGCTGCTCTGGGAATCTGCAGGACTGAGTCCCTCAGTCACTTGACAGTGGACTCAGAGACAGGCCTGGGGTCAGCCTGGGGTCAGCCTGGGAGTGGAAAAGCCATGCTCAGCACCCATGCGCCTGTACTACAGGCAGCTCTTCTACGATGGCTCATCACAGTTTAAAACTCTAGGCCCAAAGAATTAGCTTTGTGTCTAGGCACCTCATCTCTATTTATGACACTCCGTCCTGATTTGCTTCACTGCCCGTCCCCCTCCACATCCTGACCTGAGGCTGCATGCAGTACTAGGCCTCACACTGAGCACCCCAAGCTGCCTAGGGAGCAGGAAACCCAGAAAACCCAGGGTTTGTTGGAAACCCAGGACTAAGGGCAACTGCAGGCTGTCAGCTGTACCCTGGAGTGTAGGGCTGGTCAGGAACCACAACTCTGTTCTGGGCACAGAGGCCTGATCACAGAGAGCCCCCTCTGCCTCAGATGGGGAATGCATGGCCAGAGATAGCAGATAATGTCAGTGCAAGACAAGGAACTGAGATCCAAGAGCTACTAAAGACCAGCTCCACAGGACTTATCCCTGATTTAGGAGGGGCTGGGAGGATCCAAGGTGACAGGCTATGTTTCTGGACAGGGAGACCGAGTGTTTACAGGAGAGCAGCAGGGCCCTGGTTGTACCTGTGGGACCAGGTTACTGGGATAGGCCGGATCTTGGGCCTGGGGTGGTGTAGCAACACAGGAGGGGAGGGGCCATGTTGGGACTGGCGATAACCTGTCTCTGGGTTTGGAGGCTCACCTGCAACATGGGTAGGTGTGAGAAGTGAAGTCCTGCTGTTTGGTCACGGAAGAGGGACAGTTCCACCTCTGTGGACTGGTAAGCCTGAGATGGCAATGATAAGAATCAGTCCTGGGGCTGGGGATGTGGCTCAAGTGGTAGCGCGCTCGCCTGGCATGCGTGTGGCCCGGGTTCGATCCTCAGCACCACATACAAACAAAGATGTTGTGTCTGCCAATAACTAAAAAATAAATATTAAAAAAAAAACTATTAAAAAAAAAAAAAAAGAATCAGTCCTGTCCACCACAATCAGGTGAATACTAACTAACTGTGGGTTACAGTTGGTACTAAATGTGGGTTAGCTCTTGTTTTCCCTGATTATTCTTATCCCAATTTATAGGCAAGTAGCCTTGCAGTGAAGTGACAGCAGTGCCCATAGGATCTCTCTCAAGAGAGGCGAGAGAGGGTTTGGGGAGCTTCTCTGGAGGCAGGCTAGGTCCAACTCTTAGTCTGGCACCTTACAGCACTCCTCAGGTGGGAGCATCCCAAGGGGCTTGGGCCCTGCAGATCTGGGCCCATTACTTTTGGTTCAACACTTAAGGTTTTGAAAGTTACACAGGCTACTCTTTCTGTTTAAAAATTGGATAATAATGCCACGTGATTCAAGAAGTTTAAAAGTGTAAGTTTTTTTGTTTAGTGCCAGGCTGTTGCAAAGTAAGATCTTTGCTGTCCCTGGTAACCCATGTTTATTACTTACCATCAAGACAGTTTCTCCATGGGGTGTGGATGGCACTGCGACATACTCCGGTTCTCCCCTTCCTCCCATTCTGTTTTCTCTCAACCCTTGGGGACCTTCTTCTGCCGACATACCCTTGTCTAGATGCATACATATATTGAGCCAGGACTTTATTCCCTGAGCTTCTTGGGACCCCCAAGGGAGCTCCCAGACCATCATCCACCTCCTTCACCTTGGCCAAAAGACCTGTCCCAAATTCACCTCTGCCTCTGTCCTCAGGATGTTCTGGAGTCAAAGAATAGTACCATCAAGGACCTGCAGTATGAGCTGGCCCGAGTCTGTAAGGTATGCACCTGCCTCCCTGCCTCCTCCCTTGGCTATGACCTGGCTTCAGCCTGTAGACAGTGTGACTGCTGACCATCTCTGAGGACCCATCCATTTCCCATTCACATGTCATTTGATGAGGCTGGTGGACCATCCCCGTGTGAGGGGCAGACACAGCACGAGGTCATCTGTACCTACCTAGGACTGAGCTGACTGCTCTGTCTGCAGAGGAATTCACCAAGAGCAGCTGTCCCACCAGTGCAACTCAGTTACACCCTTAACTCTGAGGGATGGATATCACTTCTTGGTTCTGTTGTTTGGGGACATGTCCAGATGTTTCTGTCATCCTGTTTCTTTAAGACCCCTGGGTGCAGGCACTGTCCCCCACAGTTCCCAGGTTCCATGGCACCCACATGATCCTGGCTTCCTGACCCTCCCAGCCCCTTGCCTGCTTTTTATGCACATGCTGGTATTTGTGCAGAGCTAGGGCCATTTGCTGTGAACCTCAAGGGTCTACACCCCAGTTCTCTCTAGAGCCTGTCTGCCCACACTGGAGTCATTTTTGAGCCATACTGAGGACAGCTGCCCTTTTGAGCATTTGCAGAGTCAGGCCAGGCCTGAAGCATTTCACACACATCAATTCATTGAGCTTTTACAACCACCCAGTGAAATATGAACCCTTCTAAAAATGTGCATTTTCTACAGTTGGAAGCAGGGACCTCTGGCATGGTAGCTGTGTTAGGCCCACCAGCACTGTCTCCCAGGCCTTGTCTCTTGGGACAGATCAGGGGTGACCAGGACTCTTCTCCAGGCAGGCCCTGCCCCTGGTGAAGATGCAGGGTGCTGTGCCCATGGGAGCAGGGAATAGAGGCCATTGACAAGGGTAGGAGGGAACAGTGGCCCTCGCTGAGACATGCTTGCTGAGGAGCCGGGGGGCACACTCAGGCCACAGTTCTCCTGAGTTCCTCCCTTTGCCTCAGCATACCTTCGTGTGTTAAGCCCCAGTCAACACATGCAGCTGTGTTAGCACGGGGCTGGCCTAAAGTGACCACTAACAGATGCTTGCTCTGTTCCTCCTCACACCATGCTGGCCCTGCCCTCTATGGAGTAGGGCTCAGCTCTGGGTGGGTCAACTCCTTGTTCCTCCCTGACACTGCCTTGTTCCCACAGGCTCATAATGACCTCCTGCGCACATACGAGGCAAAGCTGCTGGCCTTTGGAATCCCTCTGGACAATGTGGGCTTCAAGCCTCTGGAGACAGCGGTGATTGGGCAGACACTGGGTCAGGGCCCTGCAGGACTTGTGGGTACCCCAACCTAGCTACATGCTTGGGGCTGCAGCCCACAGAACTGATTAGGGACACTCCCTAGGTGACTCCCTCTTTCCAGGCAGTAAGTTTTTAAATTTTAGATTATCATCAATGAATGAAAATTTTTCCACATTTCCTTTGTGTTCTCTTGCTGGGCTCTGTAGGGGAGAACCACCTGCAGGAGAATCTCCTTCCCTGGGGCACGTCCAGCTTGTGCCACACCACACCTGAGTCCTCCAACTTCAGCAGCACTTTCTCTGACAGCCCCCTTGTTCACCTGGGGGCCAAGGTGGCAGAGATCGAGCCACCCATAAATTGCTCCTGTCCCAAAGATGGGAGCAGTTCTGCAGATGCAGCGCTGTCATTAGAGACCTGAGTGAGTCACAGCTGCCCACTGGAAGTAGCTCTGCAGATGTAGCACTGATTTTATTGACCCAAGTCACAGCTGCCCACTGAGAAACTCCAGAGGGGGGCCAGAACCTCCCCAAGGAAGTGGGTGACCACTGAGTGTGGCTGGGCAGGCAGCCTAGCCAGAGCAAGGGTAGGTAAATAGCTCCTCCAGCCAGGCTGGGCTCTAGCTCCCTCTGTAGGTGGTGTAGGACCACGGGCTCAGCAGCAGAGGCACATGGAACTTCTGGGTCTCCTTTGTGATGGTGAAGACAACCTGAGAGAAGCAGAGAAAGCGCCAGAAGACAGTGAGGGACCACAACCCGGGAGCCACCTGACCCCATGACTCCCTGGGAAAGCAGCCCGAATGGTGGGGCAGGGTCAGCTGGAGCCCAGTGGTGGACTGCAACCTCCCTGAGGGCTGAGGATGGGCGGAAATCCTCCTCTGGGCATGCTGGATGTGGCAAAGGCCAGATGATCGGAGAGAGGGGGGAGCAGTCAGAGAAGGCCAGGAGTTGGAGTGGGGCAGATGAAAACCTGTCTATGAAGAGGAGATGAGTCACCCCCAGCCTGCCTCCCCCAAGCCTGACTGGGACAGCTCACGGATGGGCATGTCAACACGGAGTCTCATGACGCCCCAGGTCAAAGCAGGCAAGCCTGCCACCTCCCTGAGAGAGGTGGGACCAGTCTGTCCTTGAGGCCTGGCCGAAGACCTGGCCTGCAGGTCAGTGAGTCAGGGTCTCCACCCTCTCCATCCCCCATGGCACTCACCTCTATGTATGGATAGAAGCTCTCCTGCCCCCTCTCCTTCCAGTAGCCCTGGGTTTCGAAGGACAGCTTATAGGTGCCAGGCTTCATCTGGCCTGGCCTCAGGAGCCCAGGGCAGCGGCCGTCCAGGTCTGTGTAGCTGGGGAGAGGATGGGCTGCTGAGATCAGATGCAGAGCCAGCTTCCCTCGGCCTTCCTGGGTCTGACCCCCACGGGTCAGACGTGGCTGAGCAGGTAGTGGGGCAACTGTAGGGACACTGCTACACTGCCTATTTAGAAAATCAACACAGAAGCAAAAAGGGAAAGATTCTTCCATAGTCTACCACTTTGTATTTGACGTATTTTTCTAGATTTTTTTCTATGTTTATGTTTGTTTACAAGTTTTGTTTGTTTTGTTTTTTTAAAAAATGCACCATAGATTATGATTCATGAAGTTTCCTGTGTTTTTAATATAATTTACTGATCATGGCTTTCTGGGTCAATAACAATACATCTATGTGGTGGCCTGTTTCCAGCTGGATGGAAGGTCCATGTTGAGTGGGCTGATCCCTCATGGAGTGTTCTGAAGGCCTGCAGTTTTGCCTTATCACCTCTAATGCCCCCACATTCTTCATACCAGCTGGACCTAAAGAGTGTCCCACAGCATTTAGGAAGGGAACTGCATGTATGGCGTGCGTGGCTCCCTCTAACCCTGCAGTGGCTCCTGGCCAGGGCAGCACTGGGCTCACTCAGTGGGCCTGGGTGCCTCACGCCCCAGCTTCTGTGAAGAGCTTAGCAGGGAAGCAATAACCGCACCCTAGACCCTGAACCTTTGGGTCTACCTTCCCTGGGCTCCCCATCCTGCCACAAGACATGCCTGCCTTCCTCAAGATGGAGGGTCATGGGGATGAACCTGCTCACAGGCCAGCTCCAGGGCCACAACTCTGCCAAACCGGGTTTGCAGCACCTGAGACTGGAAGCCTTTTACCTCATCCTGCCTCTGTCTTCCCATCTGTAAAAGGGTATTACGCTTCCCGTCCAGAGGAGGTATGGAGAATAGAAAGAGCAGAAAGTAAGTGGTATGCCACCTCAGGCCATGGACTTGGTGGAGAGACATACTGCTCCCACCCCAGCAGGCCTCAGCAAACTTGAGTCCCAGGACACTCACACCTGCTAGGATGGCCCTGTTCCCACATGAGGAACTGAGGCTCAGAGTCAGTAGGGAGGGTCCAGGCTGGGAACCTGTGTGCCTCCAAGGCTGAGGGGCTGGTGGGTGCCGGTGGGCAGCAGTCAGCTCTGTCTTCCAGCCCCTAGTGTCTGCACTCCTTGGCTGGGTGGGACTCAGCAAGGGCTGGTGCTGGGGGAGCAGGAGCTCTGGATTTCCACCCAGCCCCAGGGCCTGTCTCATACCTTTTCTTCAGTTCTGTCCACTGCTGGCTGAGGTCCTCAAGCCGAGACAAGTGGAGGCGCAGGCCGCGGGCTGGGAGCCCTGACGCAGTATCGAGCACGTGTGTGGTCAGGGGGCTGCTCTCAGGCTCCATGCCAGTGCCTTGGATCACAGGAGGGGCAGGGTGAGCTCCTGAAGGCCTGTGCACTCGGTCCCCAGCCCTGCATCTGCACTTCTGAGACGAGGGTGAGCAGCCCCACTGCCCTGAGGGCAGCTGAGGGCAAGGGTCACTGGAATTGCTGAATTGCAGGACGATTTGCCAGGTTGCAAACAAACTAACCCGTGTCCTTGTGGATCCCCACTGTCTCCTTCCCCCAGCCAGAGTTCCAGCTCACAGATGGCCTTGTTCTCTCGGAATCCAGCTTCACTTTTGCGTCTGTGGTTCGCAGGTCCCTTGGAGTTTCGCCCCCCAGGCAGATGAGGGAACAAATCCTGAGGGTACAGGCCTGCCCCTTACCTCAGGCGAGTCCAGGTGTCTAGCTGGAGGGCAGCAGCTGCGAAGCTGGACTGTGGGGTGCCCGTGTGGCCCTAGGGGGAGGTTGCCCAACAGGCCCCTGGGGTTAGCCCAGCCTGTGTGGCCACCCCGGGCCGAGCCGCTCCTCGTCCTGCCGGCGTCTCCCTAGCTGGCGCGGTCCACCCGCCCGGTCCCCAGGAACTGCCCAGCCGCCTTCAGGGGCTCAGGGCTTCCTGGGGGGCGGTGGAACGCCTCCGGGGCAGGGACTCGCGGGGCGGGGGCTGCGGACGCGGGGCGGGGCGGTGGGTGCTGGAGCCGGGTGGAGTGGGGCGGTGTGCGCTGATCCCGTGTCCCCCGGACGTCCAGACTCAGGCACAGTTGTGATGGAATCCCCCTGCCAGCCCCGTGAGGCTTCTGACAGGCCACCTGACCTTGCCTCAGTTTCCTCACCTGTAAAACGGGAGCAGTAGGACTCGGGAGGTGATGGAGAGGGTGCCATCGGACAAGGAGAAGCTCCTTAGCACCCCTGCTCCCTCACCTTCCGGTGCAAAGGACCGCTGTGTGTGCAGCCATGAGTGCTGTGGGGCTGTATTTGTCACGATTATATAACATACGAATCGTGAACATAGCATCCACCATGTAAAAAGAAAGGGCACTCTATTTTTAAAATCTGTATGTTCTATATTAAAACCACCTTGCCGGCTGCTGGTTGTCTTGCTCTGGCAGAGGGCAACTTTTCTTTCTCTTTGCCAAGTTGCGATTCTAATTATGCAACCGTGATGGTGGTTGTTTGTAGGTGAGGAATCCGGGCCCTTCAGGGTGAGGCCAGAAACCTCTCCACAGTGGCTGGGGGTGTTGGGTGGAAATCCTCTGGAGGTGATGAGGAAGTCTAAAGGCACCCTCTCCCCTCTCGGGCCACCTTTAGCTCATGCCTGTTGTGGCAAGTGCTGGTGGGTTCCAGAGACAGAAGTAACCCTCCTGCCCCACGGGGACCAATTGCATAAGAAGCCTCTCAGGCACCAGCATGCTCTGCAGCGTTTTGGAGGAATTAGGCCGGTTTGTAAAGCAGGCACCATCTCCTGGAAGCAGGTAGTGACAAGTCTGTAAAGTGGGAGGGAAGGCTGTAAGTTACGTCCTCCCTGTTTGCAAAGATCCGCTCACCTGGCCCTCAAGCACCTCATAATGTGTCATTATCCCCGCTGTCCAGAAGGAAGAACAGGCACAGAGAGGCCATTATTAGAATATCGCCTCACGTGGGCACTTGTCAATGGTGGATGCCTCTTGAGACCAGTGTTTGTGGCCAGGAGACTTGTTTTCTCTCCTTAGTCTTTTGTGCTCTTGGGATTTAAAAAATATTGGCTTGTTTCACTTTTTCTAAAGTCTCAAATGTTATATGTTAAAAACAAGTAGACCTTTTTTTTTCTGGGGGGTGCTCTTTAACTGAAACTGTACCCCGGAGTGTACCTTGCTGGAGGGTCTGCAGAATCAATAGGCTGTTAAGAGCTGTTGTTTGATTTTCCCACAGTGTGAAATGATTTGCTGTGTGATGTTGTGACACATAGGGTATCTCCAAAAACCTATAAAATCTCGCTGAACAAAGGACCAGGACTCACTCCTCAGGACTGCTGTGTCAGAAACGGTTGTGAGTCCAGGCTCGAGCTTGCAATAAAGACTCTTGTGTGATTGCATTGGATTTGGCTCCTGGAGGTCTATTGGGGTCCCACGAATCTGGCATTTCAGCTAAGGAAACTCAGGGTCCCTTTGCCCTGGACAATGGGCAAGGGCTCCAGGCTGTTTCTGTCACCATGGTAACCGCAGGAGCAGGCTTCCTGGTCCCATCTTCCGCATTTTCATGGGCTTCCCATTGGTTCTTCCACTGTCACTCAGGACTTCTGCTCCCGCCTTCCAGCCACTAACCTGTACTTCCTGTTTCAGACCTGCTACTGGGAGCTACCCAGAGCCTGCATTTTTAAAAATGCCCACCTGTAAATGCTAAGGAAAGATATCTTTTTCAGGCAAAATCTATTCCAAAGGTTTCTACGTTGCAGCCCTAACTTTAAGTTATTTTTGAGTTAAATAACCTGACTTTTCTCTATGGTTGTGTTACTAAATAATGTTCTATTGATGAGAGATATCAAACATGCTTCTTTATATTTTGCTTTTAATTTTGGAGGTTATGGGGATGCATTTACATTCCACAGGAACAAAAGCTGGCAATGTTCCTGGGATGACCAAAAAATCCTTATTCTCATTCCTGACTATATAATTACAAAAAATAAATAAATGTATACACAAAGATCTTATTTCATCTACATTACATGATGTCACATATAAGAATGCACTTCTAGTTAAAATTAAATTGAAATGGATCCAAATATCTAAGAACCACTTGGTTACATGAAGTTAATACAATGATAAGTTATGCCCTTATTCTTAATATGTATTTTCCTAGATAACCTATAGTTATTCATCTAACATGTCTGATTGTTTAATTAATGTATATTTATCTAATTGTTTTTCTTCAATAGAAAACCCATAATTTGTACATTTTATACATGCATTTATCTGATGCTCTGCCTTTTAGTTACAGATATTTGAGATAAATGTATTTTACTATAAATTTGCTTTCAAGAGAGAATACAATTTTCAAGTAATTTCTAATTCTCAAAGTTATTGCACAAACTTTTAAAAAATATTTATTATTAGTTGTAGTTGGACACAATATCTTTATTTTATTTTTATGTAGTGCTGAGGATCAAACCCAGAGCCTCGCACATGCTAGGCAAGCGCTCTACCGCTAAGCCACAATCCCAGCCCCTGCACAAACTTTTATAAGATGATAAACAAGTATAATTCTGTCTACAATAATATCCAAGGACCTTAACTATATTTTCATTGATATTTCTTCTTATCAAAGTACACAAATTTATTTAGATTCTAAGGTTTTCAAAAATTATTCCACAATATAAACAGGAAAAATTCTAAAAGAAAAAGACAATGTTCAACAAAGAGGAAGCACACATTGGCGGTCCTAAGAAAAAGAAAAAATAATAATAATCTTTGGGTAAAAAGAAAAAAAATCATCTTTGGGTTAAACAAGGTCTTTATATTCTAGATTTTAATGATAAAAGTATTTTCCTAAATAAAAAGATCTTTATATCATTATCTAGATGATGATTTAGAAAGTTAAAAGAATTAAGAAAAAGATTTATATGTACTGGACTGATTGTAAGGATATTTCAGGCCATTTCCCTGATTTTACTATGCTGATATGAGCTAAGATTTGCCCATATTTTGACATGATAAAGACCTATTAAAACATTAAGTTTGTTTCCTGTAAGGAAGGTCTTTATTGCCTAATGATTCTTACTGTTTAAGGCAAGGATTAATTTTGATGAATACATTCACATCCTTAATTAAACACTAAATATATTAAACTGCTGACTTAGATCCTAATTTTGACAATTCTCTTTGGAGTCTAAATTTGATTGATTCAAAGACACTGTTGATTCTTACATATTTTGTTTGTTGGATAATTATGAGATTTGGAAGAACATTTTATTAGAACTGAGGTTCTCCAAATTAAAGTTGTGTGTTAGTTTTGAGCAATAAAGGTTGCAAACCTTGTTAAAATTTTATTGATATATATAAGTTCCCTGACTGGACCTATTATCCACAAAAACTATGGTAATATTTATATATTACTCTCTATATTGAGAAGTAACCTTAATCACATTTTCTAAAAGATGATTAAGAGACAACTATTTAAAGGATACTATTCTAAAATATAGAGATATTTTGAGACCTTCTCTCAAAGAGAGATTGAGGGTTCTTTCTAAATTGTTAGGATGAATCAACTAGTCTATATTAAAAAATTACAATAATCAATAAAAGATGAATCTATTTTTATCATTTAAATACTTGTACCATTATCTGTAACTTAAAATGATGATACTATGGCTGACACCAACCTTTACTCAATTTTCTTAAATAAAGAAAAGGGGGAAAATAGGACCCCAGAGACACCCATTAGATCTTATAAAATATTTAAAAATTTTTTCTTTTCTTAAATTATAATATTGAGAGTCTTAATGTGACTGAACATGATTCAGTAAATTAAATCAGATTTCAAAGGAGAGTTTAAGCCAGTCATCATGAAGATGACTGAGAAACCTGGCACAGGAAGGTAAATTTCCAGCTACACAGTTTATAGCCATGTAGCTTCATGGGCTTATCAGGTCAGTAAAAATTATAAAGAGACTTCTATTGACCCATTTCTCAGGTTAATTTTTAACGTACATTGTAGTGTGGACTGGAAAGTTATACCTATATATCAGTCCAATGGAAAATAGGCTGCCTGGAAGTATCTTTTGAGATAAAGACAGCATGTGAGAAACCTAAACCAGCCAATTATGCTGGTCTAGAAATTAAGACTATATCTGGACAATTGTCAGAAAGATTATTAAAATAGATTTTTTCCTATACAGGCTAGTTATTTACATAAAATATCCACCAATGTATTATTGCCCTAGTTATTCTACAATAAAAATTAATACTTTTTCTAAGTGGATGGATTGTACATGTCTTGTCAGTACAACACAAGATGTCTAGAAATAGTGGATATATTTTAGGCTAGTCTC